GCAGGAGGGGGAAGGGGAAGGAGGAAAGGATACCAGACAATGGCCAGTGATGGATGGAGGAACACCTGGGGTTGCAAGGTGTAGACACGAGATAACCGGGGGATGCAAACGCTGATAACAGGAGTGCCCAGGCTCTGGAGCAGCCCCCTGCACAGAGGTGAATGTCAGACCAGCCTCTTGACTCTCTCTGACAATCCTTCAAGAATGCCCCACTGCAAATGTGATCTGTATTTCTCCTCCTATTCTGTAAAATGCACTCTATCTGCTCGAAAAGAGAAAGAGGCTAGGCAGGGTAAGAAAAAGGTGATGTTAGGCAGGCTTGGCTAGTTCAGCACCCAAGAATGGGAATGTACCTGAGCATCTGCCATGCATCGGGCCTTTGGGTTCATAGCAGTCCCTTGGCATGTCATGTCATTCAGTCTGTACCTTGTGTTTTGGGAGTATTGACCCCATTTCTGCTGAAGACACTGAGGAACAGAGAGGCTAGGAGACTCCGTTAAGGCCACTCAGCCGGGAAGTGGTGGCACTGGGTGTTACACTGCTGACTTCCATAAGGCCCTCTGAAGGGCTCTGCTTCTCTGCTGGAGACATGCCAGACTCAGAGGCTTTTTCTGCCTCTTCTATGTAAGGGGGCAGGCAGCAGGCACCTGCTGTGTGATGAAACTGGATCTGCTTTTGCTGCAATGGAAGCTGGGGAGCACCCTGGCAAGAGCTCTTTGAGAGAGGTGTTTCTGCCACCTTCAAGCTGTGTGGTCTTGGGCAAATTGCTCAGTCTCTCCGAGGCTCCATCTCATCACCTGTCAAAGGCAGATAATAAATCCTTCTTCTTGCAGACAGTGAAAGGATTAAGCTGGATTAGGTATGTGAAAGTTCTTTGTAACTGGTAATGCCCTCTGCAAATATTAGTTATTATGCTGTTACATTTTCCCTTAATAACCCAGAGCTTGGGATATAAACCCCCTCCATGTCCTATATTAAGACATCTCCTAGGATCTCAGTTATTTTGTGTTTTTCTTGTTCTCATGGGTTGTAATGGGTTTGGCATGGAAATGTCTTTAAAGCAGTTTTAAATAACTTCCAACAACCAACCAACCATCATTCTTGTGGATGTTTTGAGAATCCCCAGCAATAGTGGTGACAGTGAACAGCGATGTGTGGAGGCTGACTTTGTCCCACAGGAGGCTACTACTGTCATCACCCCCATCTCACAGATGAGGGAATGGAGGCACAGATGGGTACTAACTTGCAAAAGGCCACAAAGCTAATAAGTTACAGAGCCAGTTGAAGTCCAGCACAGGTAGTGTAGCACCAGAGCTGCTACTTCTAAGCACAACGACACAGCTAGGTCTCCTCATCTTAGGCCAGTTCTGTCCAAGACATTGTGACATTCCCCCAGGTAAACCACACCCCCTTGCCGAGTTTCTCATGCTGCAGTCCTGGACTCTGTCCTAATGTTCAAAAGATAACTCAAAGAGGCACATACCCCTTAGAAAAATCTGATTTCATGACAACATTCAATAAACAGAGAATCTCAAAGCTGAAAGTGTACTGTTCTGGGTACTGCAGTGAGCTTTCAGGGAGGCATTCTGGGTTCAAAACAAATCTACAGATGAGCAAATGAGGTGGAGGCACAACATTGGAAGACCTTTTATTATTAAGTTACTCTGTAATCGTGCTCTTGGCCACTTACTGGGAAGGCCTCCATTTCTTGAGCGTTGGTTTCTTTGCCACCCTGTGAATGTGAGCATCTCACCTTGATTTTCACATTTCTCAGCTTTTCCCCCACCAGTGATTGCATACATCTCTTCTCCCTCCCTCTGTAAAGTCTCCCTGATGATGTCTGGCAGTCCTGGGAAATCAACACCCTGAAATAACTCAGTCCCTACCTGACATCATTTTTTTCTGTCACTTTCCTTCTGTAATGCTGCCCACAAAGCCTAGTGAGGGTGCCCCTCCACCTTGGCTTGCATGGTTGCCCCTATTTCAGGGATTGCTGTACCTCAGGTGTCCTGAAGTCACCAAATTCACTAGTTTTTCACTAACGTGGGAAGTTTCTGCCCTTGGCCTCACATTCCTCCCGATCAGCTCATTAATTCACACAACAGCTTTGCTTGTGCCAGGGCCAGGACTGGGTCTCAGACTAAATGAGGCCTGTGCCAGACTCTATCCCTGTCCTCATGGACATTATATTTGAGAAGGATTAGGAGATAATAAATGAGTCCATCATAATATAATATCTGTAAAAACCTGGAAACAGTGGCAAGTGCACATACTGCCATTAAGGACATCCATAACCTATAAAACAAAGTATTTCTTCATTAAGATATTCATCATGAAGGCTCCAGAAAGACCTGACTGGTGTCCTAAGGACTTCCTGCTCTAGGCCCCCTCTCTCCCGAGGGCTTTTTCAGAAGTGCCTGGGAGTGGGCCAGAATTCTCATCTTTAAAACAAAGCTGAAATTTTCCTCTGAAGTTTCCCAGGCCTCAGTATCTCACCTTGATTTTCACAGTCAGCCCATCCAGGGAAAGAATCACATTTCCCTTTCAAGCTTTCTCTACCTGTCACCTGATGATTGTATTAATATCTACCCCCATCTAATTCAGATAAAGATTAAATGAGATAATGTAAGTTAAAAGACTTCATAAACTGAGAAGTACTCTATAATTGGCAGCTATTATTGTTATTGCTATTGTTAAAATAATTATAATAATTATTATTCCCACAGAAGTTTTGTTATTAGCCCAAGGTCATGCGGGAAGGAAGCACAGAGCCCCCCACCCCCATAAGCTCACGGTGCAGCTCAAAGCAGTTCAGGCGCTCATGCTCTTGTATGCAAAACCTTCCCATATCCAGGTTATCTTGTGCTGTGTTCAAGCTTCCAGGACCCCTGCCAATGCACGCTGCCTGAACTGTACCCCACGGATACCCGGCTCCTCCATGGCTATACCAGCCTGAGCTCCAATTGCCAAGGTTTTCAAAAACCGCAGTTTGCATTTATTTTGTTTAATTCTTACATTATGTTCCAGCCTCCTCCTAAATGCATTTGTTTGCAGAAAGAGCCACGAGGGGAAGTTCAGCCCACAAATAAGAATATAATTATTACACAGTTTAGCAGTGCCTGGGCGTCACCCGGGTATTCACTGGTGCTCTGCAATTCAATTGTCTCTCCTTCAAGACCATATTTAATAGGATAAACAATTTCTGCTAAATGCAATAAACGCGAACCTGGGCTGTCATCTCCATAATCAACTCAAATTTCCCATTAGAAGCGGTGGCTGTGATTGAGATTCAGAATTTAATTTGGCGGCGCTTGCCTCAACGTGCTCGTGTCGGCTTCGTGGGAGTCTCCCATCAACCAAAGACAGACCTGCTTTCCCCCATCTCTGGGGAATCTTAAAAGAAGATAGATTATAACTCAAGAAAATTATACAGCCTTGGTATAATGAAAGAGATAAAACATTATTGGATTAGCCTGTTGAAATAACAGTAGACTGCAAAGCAATAATATTAAGCCAAACAAGGGCCCAGACCCGTCAGCTCAATTGCAGGGACGCAGGGATGTAGGAAGGCAGACAGAATCACCATGCTTGCTGCAACAAGCCCAAGCAGGGAAGAATCAGCTTCTGGTGGCCGTTCTAGTGGCTCAGGCCCAGAGTGCTGGTGGGGCCCAACTGGGTGTCCTCAATGTGTTAAGGTCTTAGGTCTCAGCACTGAGCCCCCCAACAAACTGCAAGGAGAGCATGTGGCTGAAAACAAATAGGATGAAAATGAATAGGATGAGCCTATTCACCTCCAACAGACTGTTTTTTTCCCAGGAATTTGATCTCAACAAATTCACACAAAGTTCTGCAATCAGACAGGAAGTGCCCAAAAACAAAGAAAAGATTAAGAGGTGTTTTAATATCAGCAAGAAGGAGAACAATAGAGCTTAAATGATCATTTGATGCAATCCAAAACATTTCTAAAAGGATAGGTGCTTAGTACCCTAGAAGGTCAATTGCTCTCTGATTCTCCTCTTCACATACTTCCTTTCCCCAAGAGGTATTTGCACCAAAGCAGAGGAAAGCAGATATACTGGGGCAGGGAAAGGTGTGTTGCCCTCAGCCATCAATGTGAACTCTCTGACACGATTCTCCTCTGCGACCAACTCGTCTTTGCAAACCTTTTCCTCGTCAGATCAGTTCTCCTGGTTCTAGTCTCCATCTCAGGATCTTTTTCTGGGCATCCTGTCTCTTCCTTGTTAAGCACAATTCAGCTCAGGTCTCCAAACTCTTGCTTTTGATCTACACAACCACACCCTTCCTGCGCTCAACATCAAAGGGAGCTGAGGAGCCAGGTTCCAGGTCCCTCGGGTCAGTACATGGTGGAGATTTGTCATAACACATAGATGAGTGTGCACACACATGCACATGCACACGCACGCACACACACACACATACCTTCTTATGTTGCATTCCATCAAAGTATCTTTCTTAGTCAAATGTCCATTTATAGAGAGGGAGGGAGCATCAGAGTTAAGAAATTAAAACTCGGCAGCCCAACTCTGCCACTTCGTCACTGGGACCTTGGAAAAGTCACTTACATGTTCCAAGTCTCAGTTCTCCCAGCTGTTCAAGAGGGCTCATATAGCGTCCACCTTATCAGGTTGTCGTGAGGATGGAATGAATTAACACACTGAGCCCCAAAGCTGGCACATGGTAACCAGTCAATGAATATTAACTGCCTTCATCATTGAATGAGACAGTGTAATCCTCAAGAGAAGAAAAATTTAATATCTATTCATTGGTTCATTATTGGATGCCTACTACATGCAATTCACTGCTAGATACTGGGACTTCAGCATGAACCATTCTCAACATGGTTCCTGGCTGGTAGTAAATGGAAGCAAAATAAACTCATAGAGATGAGCAAAGTGAGGATTACCAAGATGCTTAAGCTCTTAAGGACCCTACAGTTTTTGTTCAACTCACTATCTGTTCAAGTCAATGTGCACTTTACAATGACATCTTTATTTTAAACACTGAACAACACAGTCCTTCACTTTTGGTTCAGCCCTGGGTGGTGCTGGTGTAGGGGTGAACTGGCCCAATATTCTAAGGGATCAGAGCTCTCTCTGTGTGCAGCCCACAATAGTACCAACTGTTAGCAAATCTCCCTTCTCAACAGTTCAGTGTTTCTGAAGCAGGACCCAAGCAAGGACTGCCCCCATTTTGAGGAGGTGGATTGTTGCATTGTCTTTGTCTCGTTTTATGTCCTCCAGAACATGGAGACCAGTTTGACCAGCAAGTCCACTGTCCATCAATGGGGACATCTATGAGAAAGAAAGTCAATAAACATCAATTAGCCCATTTTATACTCTGGTGCCTTATGAGTAGGATGAGTGTATAAGCCAAAAGTCTCTGGGAGTCTGAATCTCTGATCTTCCCCTTCCAGTGAACTGTCATATTTTCAGGTCACTGTACTTGCCATGCTTCCTCTACTACAGGGCCTTTGCACATGCTGTTCTCCTGGCTTTTCCCTCTATTCATTTGCTCAATGCTTTAGATTGATTTAGATCATTTTAAGTGTCATTTTCACAGGAAAACCTTCCCTGGTCTCTAACTTCTAATAAATTTGCCATATTTTAAATTATCTGAGCATATTGTAATAGCAGCTACAACTTCAACTTTAAATGTATTTATGTGATAATTGAAATAACATCCATCTTCCTTTCTAAAAAACCAATCTCTCTGATGACAGGAACTGTGTTTTGATTTGCTCAGCACTAAACTCCACACCTAAGCTGGCAGATAGAAGGCCCTTAGTCAATGTTTGTTAAATGAACGCATCATTTCTAGCTTAGAGACTTCCTAGCTATAGGATGCAAGGGACTTTACTTCTTTTCAATACATAAAACAGGGGCTATGTTATCTACTGTGAGTATTGTGTTGTTTTTTTTTTTTTTTTTTTTTTTGTGGGACCCTCACTGGCGGCCAGGGAATGAACCAGCGCTGGAGAGGCTGGCAGGCAGCCTCACAGCCCAGCGCTCAACTGCTGCACCACCAGGGGAGGCCCTGTTGTGTGTTTTAAATGAGGTAATATACACTATGCTTTCCATTTCATAGAACTTGCCTTTCCCTGGAGGATTTTTGGCTGTTGATGAGAATGGCATATAATCAATTAGGTCTACCATGCTATACCATGTGTCCAGCTGAGCTGTTAAATCACGCTGTCATTTTGGGTACATCTTGGGGCCTTCCAATTTATAAAATGTGAGCCAGAGAGGGGTTCAAAGATTCCCTGACAAGTAGGAATTCAGTAGCTGTGTGGGCAGGTGGGGTGGGGTTGAGGTCTGGGAGGAGAGACAATAAAGATAGTCCTGAGCACTTTGCTGGGTAAAGGAATTGTGCAGGTTGGAGCTAAGAGCAAAGGCTCGAGTCACACCCAGTGCCCCTGAAGCTGCATTCCTTCACTCCCTCACTCCCTGATTGTGTCACCACTGGGCAAGTGAGTTAGCAACACATTGAACTTCAATTTCTCCCATATAAAAAGGGGATATAGATAATATCTACCCCATAAGGCTGCTGTGAGGATGAAAGGATTTAACATATGCAAAACACAGAGTAACATCATGTTTTGTGCTAAAACTAGCCAACACTTATTTTGCTCTTATAATATATTAAGCATCATTCTAGGTGCTTTATACCACTCATGAGTATCTCTGAGGGGTCATTAATATCATCATTTCCATTTTACAGATGAGCAAACTGGAGCACAAAGAGGTCAGTTACTCAAGGTCACAGTTTTAAGGATGGAGATGAGATTTGAACCCAAGCTGAGGCCAAGCATTCCACAAGCCATCTGGTATATAATAAGGAGCCTGATAAATGTTTGTTGCTTTTATTGAATGTGTCATTTCCTTTTCCAATGGTATCAACAAAAAGTCACAGAAAGGAAAAGAAAGGGGAGAAGGACTAGGAGGTTGAGATCTCTTAGGTAATAATTTGGTCATAGAATCTGAACTTTATCAGAGTTTAGTCTTTCCTGTGTTAATTCAACACATAACATGGATGCTGTGTCATAGGGAACTGGAGGTAAATGGAACATCATCCCTACTCACAGAAGATGCCTAACACACACACACACACTAAAGTATAATGTGCTACAAGCTACAATAGATATATGTTCAAAGTTTGAAAGATTAGAAGAATTTTTACAGAGGAAGGGTCATCTGTGGTGGATTCTGAGGGCTAACCAGGAGTTCATGAAATAAAAAAAAATTAAGATAAACATCTGAAATGATCCAAACAGATGACTTGCAAATGCCATGCATAGTATTCTGAACATTCAGTTGTAAAAATAATAAAATTTAAAGTCAGGTAGATCTCGAGTTTCACAGTGTCCAGCTCTCTAGCCCCCACCTCATTCTTTTAAATTATTTTTTGGCTTCCCTGGAACTCCCTTTTACAACCAATTCCCAAAGTCTCCTTACCTTGCTGCTGTGTGACCTCACAGGCTGAGCCTTGGGATCCAACAGGACAGATGCATTCACAGCGAGATTCTAAGAAGACAATACAGAGAGAACGTGAATCATACCTCGTGAAGTGAAGAACTCCCGGAGACCAGTTCTCCACACCACTGCAGTTCCAATAGGTTAAAAGAGGGCATTTCGGTTGAATGGTTTAAAACAGGAAGGTTCAGTCAAGAATACCCTCTCTTTATTGAGGGTCTTTTACACATACAAGAGGCCTTTATGGGGAACGACATGGAGTTGTTGTGGAACATCTCTCATTAGCTGACATTTGACCTAGCCTTATAAGTTTTCAGGGCCAGAAACTATATTAATGGTCACTGAGACAAATAGCCATTGATGCTCAATTTTACCACCGGTAATTGCTAGCCTCTGCTTGAATACCACTAAAGATGGGGGACACACTACTTTTAGATATCTCACCCTACCTTTGGCCAGTTCTGATACTTTAAGAGTCTTTCCTTATGCTAATTTGTAACATGTCATCCTGGCATTTCTTTCATCCGAATTACAGAATTATCTTTCATGGTCAGGTCCTGTAAGCATCTCAGGCTCTGGCCTTACATACTTCCTCTCCTCTATTGTATAGCCCCAGGCAGGATCCAGTTTCTAGATCCAAAATACACAAGGGAAAGGAGATTTCAGCAACTGTAGATTAAAATCTTGAACTGATGACCATATTGCACTCCCTGATGAACTGACTCTCACTGGGGTGTGCTTGACCTGATGGCAGAACATCTGGCCTCAGGTTTTTGTTTGTCTGCTTTGCTAAGACATACAAGAAGCTAGACACTGAGTCCTCCATAGCATCTGGGCAACTGGACCCTTTCTCTCTGAAACAGGTCTTCTCTTGCATCCCTCTGCTGAGATTACTCCATCAACATGGGTTCTGCCCTGACTCTAGCTAGCTTACTGGACTGGGATCTGTTGTAACCAGTTGCTCCTGAAGCCCTGTTTTGGCTGCTGGCCTGGAGTCTTCCTCAGATTTCTGTGACTTCTCACAACAGAACCATAAAATCCTAGACTTCAGCCTCTGACAAGTTTGCTCCATCCACTGTAATGACTCTGATGTGAGCCGGAAAGTTGGCAATCAAGCCCCCATCCTTACCACTACCCACTACTCTTCTCACCATGGACTGGTCAGGACACACACAAAAGATTTCCCCTGCTCAGCCCAGGGTCCCTTTTTGACCAGGAGAGATTCCGAGTCCATCCCCACTCCTTGCTGCACACCAGTCTCACCTGCTCGGGTATTCAGTTGAATGCTGCTGTTACTTTTTGTGTCTTTGTAGCTGGAACCCAGCTGTCCCGACAGGCAGCGTGGAATGTGCTAGTTTCCTCTATCCTGACTTTTTCAGAGGTAGTCTGCTAACAGTTATACTAACACTTGGTTCATTTCAACGTATCTCTTGGTCAAGTCTGGCTCGACTGCTCCCTCGGCACAGGTGTCCCTATTTTACATGTACGCAGGCTCTGTGCTCTCTAGGTCCAGGTGTCCATAATTACAGGTGCGCGTGTAAAACCGCAGGTGCTGGTCATAGATGCTAATGGTGGGAGGGCATAACAATCCTGATTTTTAACTCATTTACCCTACAGGAGTTGACATAAATTCTGGCCCCACAACCAGCCTCTTCAGGTGTCGACCACCATGAGGGACACCAGTGGCCTGGAAACTGTACCTTTCAGGACAGGGACTCCATTCCCTTGGCAGGGAGCACAGTGGCAGGAGCTGACTTCCTTCTGGAACTCCTCCAGGGCCTGCTTCATGTTCTGCCTTACGGTGCTGGAGTAGGCAACGTCTGTGGCTGTCACCAGTTCATACAGAGGCTCTGCCTGGGAAGGAAGCAAAGACATTTACTTCAACGGAAAGCAGTCATCAAACAGAAGCATAAAACAAGGCTCATGGGGAATGGGCAGGGGCTGATGTATAGAGACCACAAGAGGATTCACATGCAATTGGATAGACGCCCCATCTTTGTTCTGCCCCCCCAATATACACAAATACATTTATGAAGTTCAGCTCAACAACCACTTGCTGAATACCTGCTAAGTGCCGGGTGATACATGTTTAAGTATTGAGTAAGATAAAATCCCCACCCTTAGAAACTCAGAATCCAGAACTAGACACCAACATACTAATGGATATTCACAATGCAGTAGTTACAGCTAACAGTGGAAGTTCAGGGGGTGGAGAGGAGCAGGTGGTCAGCCTGTCTCAGGTGGGGGAGAGGAGGTGGTTTTCAAGCAGCTTTTTGTATATAAACCTTCTAGGAGTATCACCCCAACATCAAATCTATCAAAATCACTCAGGTCGTACAAGGGCCACCATCCTCAGAAATCCTTTCCCACCATAAAATGCTCAGACTCTGGCTATGTGACTCATTCCTCACAGTTTCTCTTTGCTCCTTTATGGCCATTACATTTTTTGCATGTTGAATTCTCATTTCTTTCCTCCTATAATTAGAGTGTAAGCTCCTGACGCTCGATGCTGTATCTACTGCACAGTTCTGTGTCCCTGGGGTCCAGCACAATCTTGCTGAGAACCTATAATGAAAGTGGGTGGGCTAAGTGACACGGGATGGAAGCCTCATGAGGACGATAGCAGCAGGCATGGGGGAGCGGGTGTGGATGGCAGGAGAAGCAGGAAGAGTGAAGCTACTTGCTCAGCAGGTGTGGGGGTGTTTGAGAAGAAGTCACAGATGGATGTGGTATCTGTGGGTTAGGAAACACCAGAGGCAAAGTCCAAAGAGATAGTTAGAAATGAGCACAGTCTCTTGGCTCTTGCTTCAGCTCCAGGGCCAGGTTCCTGTCCAGAGTTTGTTTGTGATCCTGCCCTAATCCAGCCCTGGAGAGTTTAGGGTCTGTCTAAATGCAGGCAATCATGCCTAATAGAAGCCTCCAGTGGGAAGAAAATTGCTTCCATTTCTTAATGCATCTGATGCTGACCTTCGCTCCAGTGGGCAAAGCAAGGCCCCTTGGTGGTCCCATTGTCTCACCATTCTGTGGTCAATGAATTGATCCAGAGGCTGTTTGCAGAACTGTCCAGCCTGCTGGCCCCATGTGGGGGAGGGCCGGTGGGGTAGAGGGGTGTGCTGTACATACACCAAAGATGAGCTCCTCCAATAACCTGCTTTCCCAGCAGAGCACCCTGAAAGACTGACTTTCACCACTAGGCATTTTCCTACCAGCACTGATATCTGCTCCAGGAGAGAGAGGGGCAGAACTGGAGTAAACCTCCCATGTGTGCTGTGTGCCAGGAATTGGGCTGGCACTTTATGAATAGGATCCCACGTCATGCTCACAAGGTAGCAATTATTAGCCCTATTTTCAGGTGAGGTAAAGTTAAAAGCTAAGAACTCATAAAGTAGCATTGGTAGGATTTGAACCCGGAGCCTGTGTTTTTCCTAGTTCATGATCAGATGGTTATTGATAAAACTGGTTGATAACCCACATTTCCAATCTCAACCCCAGGATTCTCCACTCTGCTTTGTCTGGGAACTGAGCAACAACTCAGGACTCCTTGTCTGCCTTTTTCTCTTAGGTTAATATAGCACATTTGCCCGTTTGGGGGTTTGCTGCTCCCTTTTCCAATAGGTCCCTCCCCATTCTTCTTTTCCTTTTCTTTACTCTTCCCGTTCCCTCCTTTCCTGTTTCCTCTCCCATCTCTCTGACAAATACATAGTTCTAATGACTTACATGAATCATTGGGCCCTTTGCACACCTGCCCTTGTGAAAATGACTTATACAGCTGCTAAGAGGTGGTGGGTATGATCTACTGAACTCCACGCAATTCTCTCCAGTGACCCCTGGTGTCACCTTTTTTTTTTTTCTTTTTAAAGATTTATTTTTTATTTATTTATACAAGCACTGGGTACAGTCAGAAGCACAGGAGGGTGAGAGAATTCACCAGAGCCAGAGAGGGGAATAGAACAGTCAGACCAACGAAATACACTGCTGAGGGGAGCAGCGGGCGTAGCAGGAGAGTTCTGCGTGCCATGTGGGACCCTCATGGGTGGCTGGGGATTGAACCGGTGCTGCAAAGGCTGCGGGCAGCTTCGCAACCCAGCGCTCAACCGCTGCGCCACCAGGGGAGGCCCTGGTGTCACCTTTCTTAATGATCACAAATAATTATTGCCAGAGCTAGCATTTAGTAGGTGCTGGACTAAATTCTTTGTCCATTACCTAACATCATCTTCATTACCATCTTCGGGTAGTCTGTGTTCCCATTTTACAGATGAAAAAGCTGAGGCGCGGAGAAGTTCAGCTTATTGCCCAGAGTCAGAGCATCAGTAAGAGGTGGGAAAGAATTTGAATGGTTAATATTGTGGTCTATTTCCTTTCAGTACATTTCTGAAGAGGTAGCTGGACAGATATTTGCACCAAATTGCTGGCATATACAGTTTTACGCTCTACTTTTTCCACTTAACATCATACCTTGAGCATTTTCCCATGCTATTCAATATCCTTTGATAAGACTTTTTTATGACTTCACAGCATCCTGTTGTATAAATGAAGCATAATGTATCAATTTTCCCTGTCACTGAATCTTTCAGTTGTTTCCTTTTTTCTTTTCCCTTTTGGTGCTACAAATAACATGAAACAAGGCATGTCTTTATATACACATCTTTACCAGCTTTTAAAGCCAATTCTTGCAGTTGGGGTTATGGGATCAAAAGCTATGAACATTTTTAAAGTTTTGGATATACATGGTTAAATTCTTGTCCTAAAGAGTAGTATACCAATTTATATTCCCATCTCCTTTTAGAAAAGCGTCCATCTCATCTCTCTCAAAGACATTGAGTATTGCTGGTTTTTAATCATTGCCAATTTGATAAGTAAAAGATAATATTGTGTTGTTACTTTAATCTTCATTTTTTTATTCCTAGCGAAGTCAAAAATTTTGCATATTTATTAGTCATCTGAGTTCTTCTGAGAGTTGTCTATTTCCTTTGAGATGTGTCTTTCTTATAAATTGCTTCATTCCTCACACATTAAGGATTTCATTTGTGGCAAAATTATTTTTTTTCTGTGTTATCTGCCATTTAATTATATTCATGGCTTGCTTATTTGAAATTCAGAAATGATTGTTGGTAGTGAGATCCAGATGTCTGAATCTGACATTATCTTACCAGGCAGTGCTACCACAACATGTGTAGGTATTTTAAATCTGCTCTTGGTCAGAGTAATTCACTTTTAGACAATCACTGGGTAAGTTGCTTTAGAAAGGTGTGATATATGTTATCATCGCTTAGCCAGTATTTTGGCTTCTTTTCATTTTGGGTACACAGCAGGGCAGGAGTTCCCTGGTTTCTTAAAGGTAAGTTTGCAGATTGACTTGCTTTAAGCAGAGAGAGTATCCCTCCAGGTCAAAACCTTCAGAGCAGAGTTAGGTGACTTGTCCCATCCCTGCCGACACTGTGGAGTGTCTCGGAGCACATGAGAAGATAAAGCCTCCATTGTCTGGACTCCTGATTGACAATGAGCAAAGCCCCCTTACCAACATTGTTTGGACATGTCTGATTGAGAAATAAAGTTACTGAGATTTGGGGGGGGTGGTTCACTGCAGCATAAGAACTAGGTTCTCCTCCCTTTAAGGGAATGCCATTCACTGTTTCACTACTATAGCTGTTCCTTCCACCTTGGAAAGCTGGCAGTGCCAGCTCTCTGGTCTGGGCAATGCCTTTTCAGTCCACACCCTCACTTTGCTGACTACTCTGGTATAGAAATGTACATGGAGGATAGACTCTGTCTAAGGTTGCCAGTTAAATACAGGTTATCTAGTTAATTTGAATTTCTGGTAAACAACAAATACTTTTTTTAAGTATAACTATATCCCATGAACTATTTGGGAGATGTAGATACTAGAAATGATTGCTTATTTATCTGAAATTCAAATTAAACTGGATAGTCTGCATTTTTATCTGCTCACTTGGGGAAGCTTGGATTCCTTTAATATTGGAAAATGTCTTTGGGGCTTTCCATCCATTAATGACCACGTCACTGCATTTTTCCCTTCATGACTTTATAGTTGTTACTCCATTATCTTCAGGCATTTAGTGTTGCAAAGAGTTCAAAGACCAGATTGACTTCCAATTTTTTAGGATACAATAGTTCCTGAAAGTAAAATATTTCACCAGAGATGTTTCATTACTATTTAGTTTGCAGACCTTCTGCTTACTTCTCAATGAGCTGTTCATTTTGCATTCTCCACTCAGGGACGTTTCCTTATATATGTGCTTGATTAATGCATCTTCACATTTCATCTTGTCCCTCTCAGGAAGAAGCCTCTAAGTTTTACATTTCCACTTCTTTCCTCTCTGTCCATCATATTTTTTTCATGTCAGTGTTTTAATCTCTTTGTCTTTTGCTTGTGCATTATAAGAACATTTTTATAGCACCTTCCACATCACTGACTCAATTTTCTGCAGTGTCAATTCTGTTCTTTATAGTTTCCAATGTAGGTTTCAATTCTGTTATTGTGCTTTTGGTTTCCTATATGCAGCTACATCCCTTTTCATCGCAGTGTCTAAACATCTCAGTTTCTATATTTTGTTTCATAAATTTTTCATCTTCCTGAGTTTTATTATAATCACAAAACAAGTGTATTCTGAAATTTACATCCATTTTTCCATTTTAGAGATCTACTTGTCTTCTGCATTTTTAATATAATTTCAACCTTTTGAGTCCAAAATTCTCCCCATGTCCATTGCCTTCTCTCATCTCTTCTTTGAACAAAAAGCCACCTCTCCCTTTAAAGTTTACTAGTAACAGTATCCATGGGCTCCTTTGTGGTCTCCTTCCCTGCCCACTTGGCTCCTGCAGGAATCATGTCTCAAATTCTGATTTTCAAGACTCGTTTCTGTATACAAGCCATGGCCAACACTCTTATGTCTAGGAATTGCTTATCTTGTGGACTCTTGTCCTGGAAAGCAATCACCGCTCCAGCTACTGGTAAGTGACTCTGCAGAAAAGAATTATTCTGAGATAACATGAAGCCATCTGTAGCTTTCTCATGCCAGAAAGGGTGCATGGAAGCGTGGGACACCCAGAGTGTATGTTTCCAACTCAGATTATGCATGTACAGAGGAAGCGTGTAAAAGTCTTCAACAATTCCACCTCCCCCAGCTCCTAAAAACATCTCTGCCCCCTTTCAGCTCACACAGCCCTTCATAGAACTGCAGCAATAGTGGGTGTGATTTACACTGCATTCATTCATGCTGGGTGGCCTTGGCACCTTTGGTAAAGTGCTACACCTCCAAGGTTGTTTGCAGGCCTGTTTAGATGCTTAGCATGCTAACGTGTATAGTCTCTTCTCTCTCTCTCTCTCTCTCTCTCTCTCTCTCTCTCTCTCTCTCTCACACACACACACACACACACACACACATGCACACACACACAAACACATATACCACATCCCAAGTCTAGTGCTTGTCATTCCCAATGCCCAGACTGGCATATTCAACCAATTTAGGTAGGTAACAGGGGCAACCCATTAATTCTAAGTTAAGGAAAAAAAGTTTTGGATAAGAAATAAATAAAGACAGGGTATCTATTTTACACTGTGCTCTGTTCATTCCCATGCCCATCTGTCATACCAACCAATGCCACCATGCCATCAGTCAAACCCAGATTTCTCTGGACCTGCCTGTAACCCATGGCTGATTTTATCCTTCTTGATGCTTGCCAGCAATGGCACCTGAAGTGTCCACCCAAAGTGGCAGAGGGGAGGATTTAAATGGCACCCTTCTTGTTCTACAGAAACTATGCATTTGGCATATAAGCAAGGGACATAGCCAAGACTGGGAATTGCAGTGTCTCCCATCAGACCTCCAGCCTCTCAACTCCCACCTTGGTTGCAAGGGTAAACATCCAGGGGGTGGCTGCTTGCCCATCAATGATGGTAGAAAGGCTGGCAAGAGGAGGATGGTGTAAGACGTGACCTGGACACCTTGCGAAGTCCCCATGGGCAAGGACCTAAGGCTAATATGTATGACAGTCCTGTTCTAGCAAATGTCTTTTTAGCTTAAGGTCACAAAACTGTTCTTATTTAGGTGACAGGTGGTTACAATCATTATTTTTTATTCACCAAGCCCACAGGAAAGTCTGGAGAGGAGGGAAGAGGTCAAAGACCCAGGTTCAGACCTAATAAGAGACTCGTGAGCAGTCACCGATGAATACAACCTCTGTGACCTTGATTTTTATCAGCCACAAAATGGAGATAAGCATACTTAATTTGCAGACTCGTGAGTATTAGATGAAATAACATTCCGAAAGCCCCTGGCAGAGTTTCATGAATATAGTAAGTGCTCCAAAGATGGTAGTGATTATCATGATGTATTATGCTGTCCTGTAACATAGTTACACGTGCGTGTATCTCACCGTTCAGCACAGAGTGTATTTTTCATCCTTGCACTTTCCTCTGTTTGCCTTCATTACCTTAGTTCCTATCACATTCGGGAACTTAGCGACTATTTGCTGAATGAATGAGAGTTTAAATGGACAAATAACTGAATCATTTATTCTCTGATGAAATAAAGAATATTAGTTTGAAAAGGCTAACATTAGAAGCTGATTATTAATTTCCTTTAGCAACTTAAGAGGTCCAAATGAAAGGCAATCGGGTGCTCAGCAGTGTACTGTAATCTGTACCCCAGACATATTTTCCACTAAAATGTATGTTTCTCAAGAATAGGGCCTGGATCTTTCTGAGATCTGTGTGCATACGCCACTGTTTTCTGAATAGAGGAAAGGGTGGGTAAAGCAGCTGCATGTACCTTAATTTTGACGATGGCTGGGTTGTACTGCACCGCGTCGCCCCACTCCTGCATCAACTCTACAGTAGGCAGCTCCCTGTATGCCAGGGTAGTGATGTGCTCACTTGCCCCTCCCCGAACGAGGACCACCAAGTCTTCCACCATCGTATTTCTCTTGTTTCTGTCTGCAATGGGTATGGAGACCTGGAATGTTAGGGGATCTAATTTTCACCTTGGAATTGACTGCAACCCAACCAACAACCTAGTTGCCATAATATTCACTGAACTCACCCCAGAGATGTGGGTGAACAAGAAGCTTCCCTGCCTGTGGGCAACTGTGGTCCAAGGAACAAAATGACAGCTCACCTAGCTGTAAATGACAAACAGTGGAAGCAGGAAAGGGAAGGGACTTTTCAGTATTTGTAAATGCTAGTCACTGAGCCTATGGGACATAGATACTGATTGATAGAGGATACATACATGTATACATAGAGATTGATGACAGAACATAGGTACATCAGTAAATAAAGACACATGCATATATGGGCATGGATTGAAAGATCATAGGTAGGTAAATACATTAATGATACATACATGATACACATGTACCTACACACAGATAGATTGAGTGGTCATAGGTAAATAGATTGGAGTGAGACTGAAGATAGATACATAAACCTAGCACATACATACATAGGGATGGACATGTAGCTCATAAACAGGTAAATAGGTTAGTATGTAAGTAGGCAGATTATTGATTATCTATGTGTCAATCACTAAACAATTGTTATTAGAATGCCCAAATGCCCATCAACAGTAGAATGACAACGAAAAATGTATTATGTTCATATAAGAAAATACTTTGCAGAATGGAAATGAACCAACTACAGCTAATCATAAAAACATAATGTTGAATATTAAAAGAAAGGACTGAAAAGATTATATTCCATCCACGTAAGCAATATTAAGCCATATTGGTAAGTGATACAAGCAGGTGGTGCAACTATTAAGAAAGGAAGGGCATGTTTGTCCCAGAAGTCAGGACAACGTTATGTCCAAAAGGGATTAGATTATTGGTGATTGGCAAGCATTTCTGGGATACTGGGCAATATTCTGTTTAGTGACCTGGAGGTGGGGTTACTTTGTATGTCTTCTTTAAAGAGCATCTGTGTTTTATGTCTGCCTCCCTATGCATGATGCGGCTTCCAGCCTGGCTCCACAGGGAACGCAATAAATAACTTCAACAGAGTGTCAGTTATATATGGAAGAAATTTTCTAGACTAGCAGTTAATTTTTGTTTTTCTTTTCTTTTGCTTTGTTTTGTCGTTGCTCCTGTAATCATTTGTCTAGATCATCTGGATAGTATGGAGCTGGAATTTATCCTTATTCATTTTTGCATCCCTGGCACATAGTAAAAGCTATATTAAATTTTACTGAATGAATCGTTATTTTAATTAAAATACTTTGGAATATCCAGTCTTTAGTTTAAAGAAAGACTAGATCTGGAGGGCATCTAAAGTGGGGAAGATGATAAGCATGGAAGCCAGAGGCCCCTGCTACTCACCTTTTATTTCATTCAGAATACCCTTGCATGTGCCCACTGATACACCCAGCTTGATGGAGACTTCTTCAATGGCAGCACCAATTGCAAAACCATGTTTAGCACAGGCCTGGACATCATGAAGAGAATAATCTGAAAAAAACAAGGAAAGGGTCTCCTGACCTAAAATGTAAATATCCCTGTCTCTCCTGACATCATTTCAGAGGCTGAGCTCTTCCTGGTTGTCATGGGGTCCTTAAGATTCACACATAAATTAGTGGGTGATCAGACAAAGAAATGCAAGCAACACTGGCACCAGGGCAGAGACCCATAAGAGAAGAGCATCACCTTCCCCTTTCAGCTTCTTCAAAGATTCTCTGTGGTTTTATACTGTGCTCCAAAATGAGAGGTGCTCAGAGTCCTATTCCAAAAGTGTGACTCCTTATCAAATCTCTGGGGCTGATCCAGTAAGTAGAGCTGCTGCAACCTGGCCACCTTCCCCTGATCACCTTGCTCTAATCATCGACAGATGATTTGTTAATCAATTGAGAGGATGCATATAAATTGTCTGGTATAGTAGCTGGCTAGGGAAAAGGGCTGTTTCCATTTCCCTTACTTCTTCATTCTGGGGCCATTTGCCATCTGTTCCCCAGTTCTCCCTGAGGCACTCTCCTCTCCTGAACTCACTGAAATCTCAGGTGTGACTTGTAAGCACCTTCTACAGCACTCTGAGGCCAGTGCAAGGAGAGGAGAGCAATCTGACTACTGGGATTGTCTTGCAATGTTGCTACAGATCAGATTTCCCCGAAGCACGATCTTCAAAACATGAGTTCCATGATAACCTCCCTTATAATTCTTATAAAAATAATTGTTACAAGAAAAATGATTTCTGGGCCTCCCTGGTAGTGCAAGGGGTTAAGATGCAACCTATGAAGGTATCTGCAGCCACTGCGGCATGAGTTCCATCCCTGGCCAGGTAACTAACCACATGGTGCAGCAGACCTCTCCTGACTTGCCTGCTGCTCCCCTGAGCAGTATATTTCAGTCAGTCCGCCTGTTCTGTTCCCCACTCTGTCTCTGGTGACTCCTCTCACCCCCCACACCTCTGGCCTGTACTCCAGTTCTTATATGCATAAATAAATAGATCTTAAAAAAAATAGAAAAATGATTTCTGTGGTCAAGTTGGTATGACAATGTTTGCATCAAAATAGGTAGAGGGGTGGTTTGACGGTGGGATGTTTAAGAAACTCTAAAAGTAGGGTCCAGTGCATGTTCTGCCAACTTATTTGACTGTAGATCCTTTTTATGGGAAGGAATTTGAGGAACTATGAAAATCCCTTGAAACCAGAGGCACAGAGGGAGGATCTTGGCAAGACTGAGGTCACACTGATATAAATTTTTATTATATACCATGTGTCCTCTTGCAAGTACCCTGGACTTACCAAGCCTTGGCTATGCCACTGTCATCTGTGTAGCAGAGGTGACCTAACCTAACAAGAGCCAAGAGCCACTGGGGAGCAGGAATCATACCTTAGACTTGCAGTTGACTATAGTTAGAAAGACCTGAAGTATTTGCATGAAGACTGGATTGCAGAGGAGGAATAGGAGTTGAATATTACTTTGGAGTCTATGGTATAATCTGGGGTCTTGTAAATTAAAATGCAATTGATGGACCAGCAGCATTGGCATCAAAATTTTTAGAAATGCAGAATGTGACACCTCACCTCAAATGGACTGAATCAGCATCGACCACTTACAAGCTGTGCAGATCATTTACATTCACATTAAATTTTGAGAAGCACTGGTCCTGGAGTGACAGTAAGGGAGTAACAGCCACGATAGAGAGGAAATTTACCTTGGGGGTAGAGCTGAGAGGATTTGCTATTAAAGTGGAAGGATAGAAAAATATTCAAGATTGACTCCTGGGTTTTTGGCATGAGCTACTTGTGGGGTGGTAAAACAATTGCAATGTGGATGGTGAGATGATGGAGGAAACCCATTTGGGAGGAGAAAGCAAAAAATCACTCAAATGGAGATATCAAGAAGCATTTCCACTTAAACTCTTGGGTTCACAGAAGAGACCCAAGACAGATCTATAAATTGGGAATTATCTGCATGTTGAAACATTTAAAAAGTCATGAGTTTTGACATGCTTGTCTGGAGAGAGTAACTGCATGAAAGAGGACTGCCCAGACAGGGGCCTGGACAGAGGAGTAGCAATATTAGCAATTTTAAAAAAGGAAGAGGAGGGCTTGCCTGGTGGCTCAGGGGTTAAAGACAGCACTATCAAGTTATCACCAGCCACTGCAGCATGGCTCCCTGACAGCCAGGGACCAACCCAAATGGAGCAGCAAACCTCTCCTGTCTCACCCGCTGCTCCCCTCAGCAGTGTATTTCAGTAGATCTATCTGTTCTGCTCCACTCTTTCTGGTGGATCCTCTCACCCCCTGCACCTCTGGCTTATACCCCAGTTCTTAAATGCATAAATAAATAAACTTACAACTTAACAAATAAACCGCCAACTAACTCCTTCCAGTAACTAACAGAAACCTCCCACATCAACTTAGAGTTCCCTTGGCAGGAGTATTCAGCAGGAGAGTGTCTGGATGCCCATCAGGAATGCCAGGAATGGGCCCTGGGTGGCCTACCTGCTCTCTCCATGGCCTCCTTGTTCATAATGAGTGTGTACTGATAAATGCCCCCGAGCACGGCCTCCGTGATGTAGTGGGTCCCGAAATCGCGGAAGAGATCTCTGTACTCCCCGTAACTGTACTCCAGGGGCAGCTGCTTGACTCTCTGAAGAAATTCATAATGGAGCATGAGGCCTCTCTGCTTCAGCTTGTATTGCGCTACTTCAAGGTCAGAGCGCGCGTGCAGAAATTTGCTTTTCTAAATGAAATACCAACATGGGAAAAACAGACCTTTAAAGTTAGGGATCTGGAGCAAGAAGATGAACTTTACAAATACCATCTGATGTTCTTGGCCTGGGGTTATCACCCTTCTAATTCCTTTAGGATACTTGAGAGAAGATGGCTTCTTTGATAAGCTTTCCATTCTCATAAATATTCTGATGTCCTTTTCAGTGTGGAAGAGCTTGCTCTTACCTCCTTCTGGTAGCACATAGGGACCGTGAAGAGTAGGGGGCCAGAAACAGGGGCGTGTGGGCCTGCTCTGATGGGATGGGGGGTTGTGCATCCACAAAGGTAACTTCATTCATGCTTATGATCTCTGAAGGAAAGCTACTCAAGAAAGAGTTGGTATGGCTCTTTAGGAAAGCTAGATGCCATCTTGCACGGTGGACGTCAACACACTACAGCCTGCACACCAAATATTCTGCCTGGCTGTGCACACGAAGTGTCATTGGAAAGGCGCCTGACCACTGCTCAGTGGCCATCATTGCTGACAGTGCTGAGTAGCTGTCAGTGGACTCCATGCCCTGCAAAGGCGAAACTACTTCCTATCAGGCCCTATGTAGGAAAAGTTTGGTGAACCCTGGGTCTTGGATTTTGAAAGGGGTGATGCTCGTTGACGGGCAAGCACCCAGGAGGGGTTACTAGAACTTGAGTTGTAAGGCAGAAGGAAGGTTAAGGGTGGGACATGTGCTGGAGCTATATTCCGCCCCAGTCTGGAGACTTCCATTCTGCTAGACCTGTCCATTCTGTAAAGCCATGGGCACGAGGTAGACCCAGGCCCCTCACGGTCATCTTGTTCTCACCCAAACCTGCCATTCTCATCATAATAGAATTTTGCATATGTGGAATGTGCGTCCCTTCCTTTTTATGTTTTTTGCCTGACACACACCAAATTATATTTTATTTGTTTAAACTTTAAAACAAATTATGAATATTTTAAAATTTGTTTTTTATTGTGGTAACCTTGCATTAAAACATTATATAAATTTCAGAGTTGCCTCATTGACAATGAACATGTGTACATACTATATTAAGATCTCCACTAAAAGTCCAATTCTACCCTTCACCACCTATTTATATTGAGGTCCCCACTTAGCTGTTACTCTGACTTGATAGATCTCTGAATTTCCTAGACACACACTTCATTCTCCAAGATTGCACTGCATTTTATACTTCCTTTATAGCCCACACTATGCTGTATTACAACTGATATAAAAATTAAGAGGAAGTTATTTACATACACATTTACCTCTCCTGCTACACTGTGAGCTTGACGGCAAGAATCATGTTGTATCTATGTTTAGGTCTCAAGTCTCTAGTGTGAACTTAATAGAATGTAAACAGGGAAGTGGGAAGCAAAGATGGGGGAAGGAGAGAGGGAGAGAGTCGATGAAAATCCTTTGAGTTCTCTCCTAAAAACGAAGCTTCTTTTAAATCATTATATATCATTCTTGAGCACTCCGGCACCCCTCCTCCTCGCACCACCATTCCGAATCTAAACATGCAAGAAACAATCCCCAAAGAGCTCAGAACCTAGAAGATGAGAAATAAGCAAAGACAATTAAAGGTGAATTAACGATTACTACCCATTTTCTGCTGGTTGATGTTTCAACAGCTGAGACCACGCTGAGCCCTCACTATTTCTTGTTTCTCATGGGAATTGCTGTAGACATTCTGTCTTGATCTCTTCCACATTCCCCTCAGATTAATTTTTTATCACATTAGATCCATATTGAAAATTCTCAGAAACTAGAGAATAAAATGCAGCTCCCTCACTCTGGAATCATGGTTTCTCAAGTCTGTGCCTGTCATCTGTTATCTAGTGTCATATCCCATCACTTCCCACTCTAATTACTCTACTTCCTTAAATCATGACCTTGGATCGTCACCTCATGGGCATCAGGGAGCAGATGATGTGATTAGATTAGTATCAGACATTTTTCTGGCAGCACGTACATTTAAAGGGATGAGTTGGGAGACAGGAGACTCTTTGGGAGGACAGGATAGGAGATGAAAAAGCCTGGACCATTTCAGATAATCAGAGTTAGATTAAGAATCCAGTGAAAAAGAATTTGGTGGTTAACAAATGTGGAAACAGAGAGAAAAGAGAGTCAAATGTGAATCTGCAATCTTTAGCTGGAAAACCGAAAAGAAAAAATGATACCTAACATAGAAAATTGAGGAGGAAGAACTTTCTTTGGAGTGTCACTATTAAGGTATCCAGGTAATGATGCTAGAAGAGAGGATGGTACAGGCCAGTGCTTAAAGAAAGGGCAGGAACAGTGATGACGGGTCATGGCTTGTCCCTGGAGGGGGAGTCAAGAGTGGAGAGGTCACTTGGGAGGCTCTGGAGTAAGAGGGAACGATGGCCTCAAATTAAAGAAAGAATAGGTGGGGATAGCAGAACCCAGAGAGGGAACTGATAAGGAACAGAAAGAAAAGAGAGGAACAGGTGCATGAAGGTGTGGTCTAGTCCCCAAATGGCCTAGGATGTCAGAGAGGAGGTTTGGAGTGACAGTGTAATTTCAGCTGAATGTTTGGAACAGAGAGTCAAATTGCTGGGGGCTAAAAAGTCTCCAGAGATGATTTAGTCTGACAAAGCTACAAAAATTAAGTGCAATGAAAATTTAGGGAAAACAGGTTTAGTAGAAAATGATGGAAAATAATTATCAGTGGTCGTGCTGTCTGACCTTTGAAAAAAATAAGTTGAGGTAAGATTAAGTTATTTTTTGTGAAAAGATTTCAAGACAACAAATACAATTGGTTAAGGGAAATAAAAAGTAATGTGGAATACATTACAAAATACATGTTTGTATTTTGTACGAACGTACAAAAAATACATGTTTGTGGTCAGGACATTTCAAATGAACACATAGAAATTGAGAAAGCAACAAAACTGTACTTACAGCATGAGAATACTTACGGTATGAGAGAATCGTTTGGTTCTGCTAATAAAATGTTTGTTGTTAGCATCTGTCTCACTAAAGCCAAATTCAAATATTCCAGCCTTTTTAAAACCAAAGCTGAAACTAGACATGCTACTTGTTTTTTCGGTGACATTATGTTCAAAATCTGAGTACGATTCATATTCAGTCAGCACAAATTCATATTTGCCTTGGGTCTAAAGGAAGAAAAAAAAAGCAATTTTTTTTTGATTGCCTTTGTCTCATATGGGCTCAGTACAAGTCAACAGACATCCACAACATTTTCATTATGTGGCAGGCACTGGACGAGGTGATTTGGATACAGAAATCTCATGGCCGAGTATGTCTACCCCTAGGTGCCCTGAGCCAGTAGGGGAGAGAGAATCACTCAATGGTGATGCTCAGAGAGGGGACTGGGTTTGGATTTCAATGGCAGAGATGCAGGAGCACATTCTGGGCTGCAGACGTGGCTTGGGCAAAGGCATGGAGGAGGAGAGAGCAGGATGTACTGCTGCAACTGTTGGGGTTCTAGTGTCATTTAATCAGAAGATGCATGACTAAGGTACAAGAAGAGGTTGTGAGAGTCCAAGCTGACATAAAAATGTTGAAACTTTCTGATTGCTGCTCTATAAGTTGGAACTTAATCTAAAGATGAGCCACGGGGCCTGCCTGGTGGCGCAGCAGTTGAGCGCTGCACTGTGAAGCTGTCTGAAGCATCTGCAGTGCTAGTTCGGTTCCCCGCTGGTCAGGGAGAACACCAGGTGGTGCAGCCAACCTCTCCTGCCTCGCCCGCTGCTCCCCTCAGCAGTGTTTTTGGTTCTTCTGCCTGTTATGTTCCCCGCTCTGGCTCTGGTGAATTTTCTCACCCTCCCGCGCTTCTGATCTATACCCCTGTTCTTGTATAAATAAATAAATAAATCTAAAAAAAAAAAAAAAAAAAGATGAGCCACAGTGGAAGTAAATGAGCCTGGGGACGATGTTACAAGAGGTAACATCACCATGGTGAGAGCATGGTGCAGGCAGTGCTGTGGGGATATGGACGGGACACAAAGATTTTTCAAGAGAACTTAGAAGTGCTATTTGCTTGAAAATCAGTGTTGTCCTTTGCACAGGAAATCTTCCTGGTGGCCCTGGCATGATGGGGCCCAGGTGGTTTCCACCCCATCCGATGAACTTCAGGATGAGTCTGCAGTTTGTACAACACTTCAGCTGCCCAGGAGGGGAAGCAGAAGCAACCCTGAGTGTGGCCTGGGGCAGGGCTGCCTGATCTGTTGTAGTCTAGTTGGGTAGCTTTAAACAAATAACCTCTATGTCTCAGTTTCTTCATCTATAAAATGCAGACGATAACTCTTACTCCCACTGGGTTTGTTCTGAGGATTGCGTTTATACTAGTGAAATACTGCATCAGGCCTGGCATAGCACTCCTAAGGTGATGGCTAAGGACAGAAGAGACTTTAGGGTGCACGTTCCCCCTGGGTTAGGAGGTATGTTAACCAGGATGATAAATATGCTGAGATTCTTCTTAAAAACAGAGGCTACTAGGGCCTTCTCCCCGGTGGCACAGTGGTTGAGCGCTGGGTTGCGAAGCTGCCAGCAGCCTCTGCAGTGCCGGTTCCATCCCCAGCCACCGGGTGAGGGTCCCACATGGCGCGCAGACCTCTCCTGCTGCCCGCTGCTCCCCTCAGCAGTGTACTTCCGTCCTTCTGCCTACTCTGCTCCCTGCTCTGGCTCTGGTGAATTCTCTCACCCTCCCGTGCTTCTGACTACCCAGTGCTTGTATAAATAAATAAATAAATAAATAAATAAATAAATAAATAAATAAATAAATAAATCTTTTAAAAACAAAGAAACAAACAAAAAACAGAGGCTACTGGGATGGCCCTGGGTGCCTTGGGGTGGGCGTGTTTGACGCTGGGCTCATTTTTTTCTTATTTGGTCAGTAAGTATGTTGGGGTGGGGGACTGGAAGAGAAGGGGAATGAGGGAGTGGCCTAACTTCAGGACTACACAATTTTAGAAGTGGGAACTATAATCAAGGTTATCCAGTGAAGCCCCCTCATCTTATAGATGAGGAAAGTGAGGTCCAGAATGGAAAAGGAACTTAGACTAAGATAAAGCTGCGTCCTGTGGCAGAGCCAGGCCTGGAAGACAGGCCTTCCCACAGGATCACAATCTCTCCTAAAGACACCTTTCTGTGAGGTTAGCTTTGAAATTTGTATGTTAGCTATAACACAGGCTTGCATGGGTAGAACATTTTGTGACTTAAGATGCCTAGAACAGGGGGCCTCCCTGGTGGCACAGGCATTTGAACATAGCACTGTGGAGCTGTCCGTAGCCTCCGCAGCGCAGGTTTGATGCTGGCTGAGGAGATACCCACATGGCGCAGCAGAACTCTCCTGTCTCGCCTGCTGCTCCCCTCAGCAGTGTATTTCAGTCAGTCTGCCTGTTCTATTCCCCACTCTGTCTCTGGTGAATCCTCTCACCCTCCCGCATATCTGGCCTGTGCCCTGGTTCTTGTATGCACGAATAAATAAATCTTTAAAAAAAAAAAAAAGATGCCTAGAACAATGCCCGATTCTAACAGGCAAGGGCTTGCTAATAATAACAACAAGATTTAATGTTTCCTGAGGCTGCAGGAAAGAGCTGCAAATGTCAGCCATCTCACTCCATGGTCCAGAGTGGCCTCCTCATTGTCACATACCTGGGGGGTGTAGCTTTCCACATTGTATGGCTTTCTGAACTTTGTGTTCAGTATGTAATGGGGGAGGCATCCGCCAGCATAATACCGGTGATCAAAGACTGGGCCCTCCAAACTGTTTGTGAACAAATTTATCCTGAAAGGAATGCACAGAGAGGGAGGTTAGGTGATCAGGTGAGTAATCACAACAGCAGACCTACTCTGTGAAACCCAAACTCTTTGGCACAGCATTCAAGGCCCTCCACATCTAGTCCAAACCAGTCTTCCTGCTTCATCCCTGGCCTCCCCAACCACAACCAATTATCCAGTCCACAGTCATTTGGGGGTGCCTGCTCTTCTTCAGATTTGCTCCTGCTCTTAGGTTCCCTGTGTCCAGAATACCATTCTAGCCACTCACTCTTATAGCTGCTACTGCTCTTTAAGATTGGGCTCTGCTGTTGCCTCGTAGGAAATCTTCACTGGCACTTGGCCTACCACTTGGGTTGGAGGCCTTCATAAGACCCCATGCTTGCTCCACTCATGCATTTCTTGTTCTGTGCTATTTCAGTTGCCTCACAAGAATAGTCTAGAATATCAGTAAGCACACAGATCTGGAGCCAGATTCCTGGAGTCAAATCCCCATTCTACCATTTACTGGCTATGTGACATTGGGAAAACCAGTGGCCCTCTCTGTAACTCAGTCTCCTCATCTGTAAAATGGGGACAGGACAAATCTTCCCCATGGGTTGCTGTGAAGGCTCCATGTTCTTGTATTGGTTAGAACATGCTTGGTCCACGACAAATGCTCGTTTTCTTTTATGTCTGCTGCCCCCACTAGATTATTTGCTCTTTGAAGATGGGTGATTTCCTTCTTAATTGCTGTAAGACCACCGTCACAAGATATTAAAAGAATTACCATTTACTGAGAGTCTAGCTGGAAACAGACACAGGAGTGGGTGCCTCAATGCATCACCTTGTCTGAAGACCTGAAGTCCTGGGCAGCAGATGTCATTATGTCCATTTAGAAAGGGTGGTGATTGGTCTCTGCTTAGACATCATTTCTGACTAAGGTAGGCCTCCATTTGTGACCAGTTCTGGCTAGCACTGGGAGTTCTTTTTTGTGGAAAGAAGCTCTTCTGCCTGACAGAACAATCTTTGGTTCTCTTTCCTGGCACAGTTGCACACATCACATGAGGTTTAGCAGTGTTTCTGTCAGCAGAGAACCATATCGCGACTATGGTCCAGCAGCTCGGCCGTCTGTCCAGGCTCACGTGGGTGGCCATTCACGCCATTCAGACTGGCGTGACTATGCTCCATGATGTTCACACAATGACTAAAATGTATTTCTCAGAAGTATGACCATTGTTTAAGCAACACATGATTACAACTTACATTTATATCTTTTATTTAACAAGTGTAATGTGGTGCTTCCCTTGCAGAGGCATTTGCATACATTTAACCTTATGAGGATTAATCCCATGCATCACATATTATTATTATACCAGTTTCACAGATGAGGAGCATGAGGCACAGAGGCCTGGTGTCTGATCTGTCTGAAGTCTCACCACCAGCAGGCGAGGCCAGGGTGTGAAGTCTGGTGCATTGGTTCAAGAGCAGTCTGCCTCCCCCAACCTACAAGCTGCCTCTTACCCCCTAGCTTATTGCAGTTACATTAGCTAGTGGATCCTTGCAGAGCTTGAAGGAAAGGCATGATCTCCCTTCATCCTTCACAGATGAAAGAACTCACAGCCCATATGGACACATGCCTGACCTGGGCCCCGTAGTCAGTGAACTCTCCTGCTTCCCCTTCTGACAGTGTCCACCAGACTCTACTGCTGGCTTGGAATGGCCACCTTACCTCCTTCTTAGCTTTGTGAACTCTGGGGATTCCCGTAACCCTTTCAGGCCCATTTCATTGTTGAGGAGATGGGGTTATAATAGCTAGCTTACAAGGTGGTGCTGAGAGGACCCCTGCTCCACAGAAAGAGACTTTCCAATGACAGCCTGTAAGGATGCAGACCTGATTTTATTTAGGAGGAAGGTGAGTTCCATTCAGGGTCACCGCTCTCCTCCCAATGCATCACCCACAGGATTTTTCACAAGTGTGAAGTGAGGCTCTCTCTCTTCCTGGAGGAGGCTGAGAAGCTGTCAAATGTGGCAGGAAAGCAGGGTGCATGCCAGGCCAGTCTGGCTCTTCTGACCTCACAGAGGACTGGACTGTCTTAGAGATGCCCAGGAGCTTGAAATGCAGGTTGACTGCAGACCCATCTTGGAAATCTATTCCTTTACTCACTACACAGGCACCTCTGCCCTGGGCTGGGTCCTATACTGAGGTCCAGAGGTATAGACACAGATGAAGCTTCCCTTGCAAGCTGTCAACAGGATTCACAGGTAATGCCTGGAAGGCACCTACGGTGGATATGAAGTAGCTGTTCATCTCTGGCCGCTGAGAGGAGCTCCTGGAAATGTTCTCAGAGAGCAAATATCAGCACCTACCATACTACAATCTTCTCAGACTGGAAAGAAAGAAGAACTCTGCATCGGCTCCTTGCCCCTTTCCTCTCCAACATCACCTTAATCTTGTGCCTTCTCACGCAACTAGTAGACAGTCACTTACCCACTGGCCAGACTGCCAATTGCCCAATATTGGTCCATCTCATGATGACATTTTTTATAAACCCTTTTACAGTTTGCTTCATCTGACCCATCTCCACAGTCGTTGTCACCATTGCAGAGAAGCCTGCGGTTTACACATCTGCCTGCGATGGAGAAAAGGTATTACAGTCATGTGGTTGCCAAGAGGAAAGCTACCATGGATGAATACCTACTATGTGCCAGACACTTTGCCAGGTCCTGAGAATCTGTTTTAATTTGTCCTGATGTGTCAGAGTGGGTTGGTAATGCGTTAAGTTTATTCCCACCCCCTCTCTCCACCAAAGGTCAATGCAGTATTTCTCAAAGCAACTTGAGGGGAGATTATTAAGGGTGGGGAAAGGGAAAGTGCCTGCCAGGTAGGAGTCCGAGCATTTGGACGGGAAGGAAGTTGGGACTTCTCTTCTTGAGGTTGGTGAGAGGAGGTGGCTTTGGTGAGTCCTGTAAGTAGTACTAGCTATGTGACAGTTTGCAGGCTACCTAACCCCTTGCCTCAATTTACTCATCTGTAAAACAGGGATGGTATCACACCCACACCCATGCCATGTGATTCGAATTAGTAAATGGAACACAAGACTCAGAGCTGGATAGGGCCACTATTGCCATTATTACTGCTTTGTGGCCCAGCATGTATGGCTGGTAAATATTTGCAACAGGACTAGTCTGATCACAAATTCTTTCCACTAAACCTCAGTGCCTTCAAGACCAGCTATTTGGGAAATTTTAAGATTATAAGAATATTTGGGCTGTATGTTTACATTTATTGGTAGCACATTTGTTTCCTTTAGACTTTGCCCCCTTTTAAGTCCTCCCTTTCTTGTCTATTCTTGAAAGAGAAAGCCCCAGAAGACAGGTGAGCCTGTTTCCTTAATGTATGAGGTCACTTTAACCAATGTTCTTGGGGAGTTAAAGGCAGAAGAATAACAATCTGATCTTTAAATGTTTCTTACAAGGCATTTAAGCTAGAGCCTGCCTGAATGGCCATTACGGCTTTGATCAGAATCATGGAACACTGGCCATAATGAGCCCACAGACACACTGTAAAAAGTCTCTCAAATTTATTGATGGGATCTTGCATTTGCAATAAGCCTTAGAAATTGCTCTAAGAATCTAACTGTTTCCTGGAAGATGGTGAAGCACAGTCCACATGGCTACAGAGAATGCAATTATAACTCCCAGCCAGATAATTTGGGGCAAAATACTCTTGTTTTTGCTGGAAACTTGCAGAAATAGACCTATGTTTGCTTGAATTAGGAAATGAATGAGTTGAAAGGGTAAGTGTTTACTTAATTATGGGGCTGATGATTTTCACTTGTGTGCTCCTTCCTTCTTTCCTCTGTCCTGTGGATAGACACCTTACCTCCTGGTTTTTTGCCTTCCTTCAACCAAAAATTCTTTATTAATATATCATAGATCAGAGGCTATGCTAGAGTAGGTGACACAGAAATGTGTAACAGGGACTATCCCTAGAATTTCTGAGTAATAAATTAAAGACCCACCCTGTTACCCTGTTGCACGCTTTGCAGCCTGTGCTGAGGCCCTGCCTCTCGGAGGTCCAGCAGAATTCAGTCTGCAAAGAGCTTTCAAAGCCATTGTGCATTTTATGCTTATAACAAACTCATAAGTTAATAATATCATTTCCTATTTTCTTTTTTTTTTATAGAGGCATGTTTTTATTTATTTGTTTGTTTTGTTTATACATGCACTGGGTACAGTGAGAAGCACAGGAGGGTGAGAGAATTCACCAGAGCCAGAGCGGGGAGCAGAGCAGGCAGAAGGACCGAAGTACACTGCTGAGGGGAGCAGCGGGCGGCAGGAGAGGTCTGCGCGCCGTATGGGTGTGGGACCCTCCTCCGGAGGCCAGGGAGCAGCCGGGGATCGAACCGGCGCCGCATAGGCTGTAGGCAGCTTCGCAACCCAGCGCTCAACCACTGTGCCACCGGGAAGGCCCTCATTTCCTATTTTCTGTTGAGAAAACCAACATGCAAAAAAGTTAAATGACCTCATGTTTGGTCACCAAAATAAGACTTGACTCAGGATTTCCAGGTGTAGCACACACACTTCGGGTGTTATTGATGTCAGTGAATGGGAAGTGAATCCTCCAATTTCCAATCACAGCTTTCCCATTTATCTGCTTTATGCCCTATGGCAAGTAATGTTTCCAAGTCTCAATTCCATAATTTCTAAAATGGGCATAATAATAACATCTGCTTGATGTATGTTTGAAATAATATATGTGAAAGAGGTCAGAGAGTTGAGGACAAGAAGCTCCCTGGCCTGACACAGGACCTGGTCCTGAGCACTGGTGTCCAATATCAGGAGTCATTGCTCACTGGCCTGTGCCCCCTCCTAGTCCTGAGACCCTTTACCTGTCTGTGCACACTTGAAGCCTTCACACCGCACTTGACTTCTGCATGGTTTATTGGTAACACAGTCTTCAATTTCCTTGTCCGAGAAGCTGCATGGTTCCCCATAGAACTGAGCAGGCCGGAGCAAGTAGGTGTGTCTGTACTGCAGTAGAGAGAAACAAGGTGAACTAAGGGCACTCACTGGCCCAAGTTTGGGTTGCAGAAGAGCATCCAATTATCTGATGGCTGCTCTCCAAGTCGTCTGTGTCTCACCACTTATATACATAAGGATCTATGTGGTCATCAACTGTTTGCCTGGAAGCTTCTCCAACTACATTGTAAGCTCTCTGAGGGCAAGGACTTTATATCTCAGTAAAGGTTTACTGAATATGAGATGTGTGAGCTTGGGAGTCAAAAAGTAGGAAGAGTAGCAAGGAGATTTGATACAGCCAGTTCAGTGATATAAAACCACAATCTCTCAGTTTGGTTACTTTAATGAGTTGATTCAAGTATTCTCATTTACTCAGTGTCTTCTAAATGAAGAAGCACTTTGGAGTCTCAATTGACTCTGATACTCTCTAGTAATGTGACATTGGGAAAGTTACTTAATTTAACCTTTGTGATCTCAATTTACTGATCTGTAAAATAAGGGTAATGAGTTACCTAAATGTACAGTTATGGTGTTTCAATTACACACACACACACACACACACACACACACTCACATAACGTCTCATGATGTTGTCTGGTATATTGTAGATATTCAATTTTTTGAACTTAATTTTCTTTTTTCTGCAAATAATTTTTAGCAGTCAGTATTACTGTATTTCTACCTTCTTGTTTGTTTATTACAAAAATATAGAATTGCTTAAATTGAGTTGATTGAGACACCCAATGTTGAAAAATGCAGGTGATATTTGTGTTTGTTATTTGCTTTTTAAAAAATATTTATTTATTTATATGTATAAGAACTTGGGTCAAGGCCAGAGGTGGGGGGCTGATAGGATTCACCTGAGACAGAGTGGGGAACAGAACAGGTGGACTGACTGAAATACACTGCTGAGGGGAGCAGCGGGCAAGTCAGGAGAGGTCTGCTGTACCATGTGGGTAGCTCCCTGGCCAGGGATCAAACTCATGCTGCAGAGGCTGCAGATAGCCTCATAGGCTGCGTCTTAACCCCTTGTGCCACCAGGGAAGCCCGATTATTTGCTTTTAATTACAGTCATGCCCTCCTGCCTGCCCACAGGAAGTCACACATGGTGGCAGTGGAGTTGGCAGGGACACCAGGCAGGGACCACACAGAGAGGTAGGTGCCATGGTAGGGGAAGTACAAAGAACTCTGTAAATTACAGAGTTGCCCTAATTGTAAGAGGATTGTAGAAGGCTTCAGCAGCAAGAGACATCTAATCCGAGACCTGAAGGATGAGTAGGGATATCAGGCACATGGAGAACTGGCAGAAAGAAGAAGGAGCAATGCAGTTTGGGTGGAGGAAATTGCTGTGCCAAACTAAGAGACTAGAGAAAATATGCTTTGTTCCAAAAAACAGAGAAGAAATTCATCATGGCTGCAGAGAAGAAGGCAAAGAGAGAATGGTAAGAGCTGCAGACGGACAAAGTAAGAAACCCAGCAGGCAGTGTTTTCAGGCTACAGTAAGTCAGGTTTAGTGCTTTATTATGGGGCAATATGGATGGCCTCCAAGTGCTAGTTACAGTCAAGATTTGATGCAACAAAATGGTAAAAAAAGGATTTAAATCCCTTTGCAGAATGACATGCTAATCAGGCATAATTATTATTTGTATGACATCTGAAAATCTACAAACAAGACACAGACACCATTCACTTCTCCCCCTTTGCATTTCCAGAGGGTCTTTCTTCCAGGAAGGCTGAGGCTAGCAGGACAGGGGTAAGGTCTGCAAAGAAGACTGTTGGAAGACTTGCCCCCCAGATGCCAGAGACAAACAAGGTTTGGTGTATGTGGAAATGATAGGCAAAATATATCCCCTAATTCCAGCTGAATGATTTTGATGAGCCCCAGCCTGTAACCTTGCAGATAGTGATGATAGCCACAGATGGAGAGTGTAGAGCAAGAACTAGGAGTGAAGAGCTCTGTCTGTCTGGCTGGCTGGTTGGACGACTCATGCTGAGTCTTCCTGGTTTATAGTGCAGATGAAGCAATTATCCAGATAATTGGATCAATGTCGATAACTTCAGCAACTGAGAACTGAATGATCCTTCTTGGCTCTCCACATTGATCCAATTAACTGTGTGATTGTCCTGGGCCTATTTCCACAGCCTTTTTAGGGTCCTTGCCCATGGCTGGTTTGATTTCCCAAGGAGCTGGGGAAATGACAACCATTCTCTTTTCTCTGAAACATCTGCTGGTCTCAGAGCTGGCATCCCGGGTCAGCCCTTTTATGACAAAGGGAGACTGAAGGACAGATACTGCTGAGACTGTATATTTAAAATGGTAGGACACTAGCCAAGAAGTCAGCGGCCTGAATTCAAGGCCTGTATTTGCTACTAAGTGAACTTGAGAAATCACTTACCTACTTTGAGTCTGTTCCTCTATTTACCTAACAAAGTGTAACAACTATCCTTTCTTTCTTACACAGATGTCAGAAAATATGAGATCAAACAACACATTTGTAGGGTAAGGTAAAAGTATCAGGCTTTTCTGCCCTCCTGCCATTAGGATAGGTGACAGAACCCTGTGATCCTGAATACATGTGTGATGGCGGGCATCTGGAGTAGGGTGTGGGCATAGGTAGATGGGATTCACTTGGGCTAAGACTGGGCTTTTAAGGGCGGCATCACGGGGATGCTAGTAGAAGCCGAGAGAAGCAGAAAACAGAGAAGCAGAAGCAGAACCACGAGGAGCAGAGCAGCAGAGACCACCAGGGAACATCGGGGAGCCCAGATAGAGTGAAGACTTCCTGGGGGCCGGGAGGCTGGTAGCCTCCCCTGCCTGCTGCATACCTGGTAAATCCCAATAAAAGCCTGAAAAACCACCAAGGGCTCCAGGACTCTGAATCCTCCCTTACCCCATCTGCTGAGATCATAGAAAACCTGCCCTGTGCCCATTCCTGCCCCTACAACATTATTTTTGGAGCACCTATGTTGCATCAGAAATTGGTATATACATTGAAGCTGTGGAATTGAATAAACCTCCAACAGTTCACCATTTAGTGGAACCTAATAATAAAGAGAAAGTAAATGATACCCACCAGGAACAGGAGGACTAGGGAGCTTTTGCAGCTCATAAAAGGGTACCAACATATTTGCAAATGGGGCCAAGAAATCAGGGAAGGCTTCTCAAAAGAGGTGGCCCCTGAGTGTTTCAATTTGAGTAGGTTTTGACCAGTGAGGGATGTGGTAGGGTCACTCCTGCCTGCAATCACAGCATGAATAAAGGCACAGAGAACATGAAATAGTGAGAGACATGTGTTCACAGTACTGGAGTGGGGGTTGTTTCATGTGTGCAGGAAGACTCCTCTTAAGTTCTAGGCCACAAGCATTTTTACCATATAACCGAATGGCCATAAGGCATTTGCTGTTAAAAAAAAAAAAAAAAGATAAAACCACCAGTAATAAAAGATGGGCATTAATTTAAAAGGGTAATAATTTAATAAGTCACTTTTCTTTTGCTAAAATTTCTTCATTAAGAGAGCTACCAGTTTCCAAAAAATAGAATGCATATTTGTGAGTTTTGTATTGGATAGGGGAAGCCTAAACCACAGCCTGATCTTTTGTTTGACAAACAAGGTGAAGGCTGCTGCTATTTCTTGTCATTACAGGTAACATGTAACTGATAGTAAAAATCCATCTGGCCTACATTTAAATGTTCCATCACTTGCTAAGTTCTTATATTTCACCAATTCATCTTAGCCAGATTCTGTGCCAAATACCAAAATTCTGTTGATATCTTGCTCTCCATATTAAATACCAACAATGTCACCATTTTCAAGAAATTTACCAAGAATCAATTCTTTTGCGGGGAATAGGAAGATCTTGATTCTTCTATTCCCTCTAACTTTCTATATTGCATGATTAGGTAAAGGGAGCATAAGAGCCATAGTAACTAAATTAGCTTAAGAACCAAGAATTAAGCTTCTCAGAGATTGTGAACTACTAGTCTCTTCTGTATTTGACTTAATTTGGTAAAACTTATGATTTGGGTGTCTGGGAAGGATGACTATACTAGCCCAAGGAAGTCCAAACTGATATGGATAGCTCTCATCCATTGTTTCCAGACAGTCATATGTACTCATCACCTTATTGACCAAACTTGAAACCAGTCAAGCCAAACTGTCAACCAGGTATTTTATCTTATACTTCAAATTGCCTGATGGCTAATCAGTAAGATGGCAAAATGTTGGCAGTGAAAATACTAGCAGCAAAGGACTTGTGGAGACTCTACTGGACAAAGTTTTATGCAGATGTAGGTCGGGTATAGGTCATGGAAGGTCTTGACTACCCTGACACTGCATTTAAATCCTAAGGCCATGGGGAGATTCTGAATGGCTATAAGTTTGGGAAAAGACAGGCCAGACCAGATAATGTTTGATGGAGCCCCTTAGTGACACCATGAAAGACAGGTTGACAGGGCAAGATTGGAGACAGGAAGGTGAATTAGGTAGCTACAAACATGAGCAAGACCAACATTTGGAAACAAAAGAGACAATCAAAGAGAGGACTTAATTGCTACTTAGAAGCACAGAGGACTATGACTCACATTGAAATCCATACAAGGTCCTACTATGGGGCAGGTTTTTTCTAGTGCCTCAGCCAGTCTTACTGAAAATTAGGACTCCTGGCAGCTCAGAGCACTGCTGGTGTCTGGGTACTTACTCTTTTCTTCTGACAGGGATCACATGTGGTCCAGGAGGACCAGCTGGACTGTTCACAATCAATAGGCATTGGCTTGAGGTCTATGCTCCGGGTGTGTCTACTCTTGGTGATGCTCTTGTTGACTGCATTTGACTCAAGAGAGCGCAGCCTTTCACCTCTAAATGGTCATCAGGAGAGAAGAGAGTCAAGTATCAGAAAGGAATTAAGTATATATCCTACCATCTATCCATCAAGAAATATATATTTGCTCATTTGTGCAAGGTTATTAGTTTATCATTCAAGTATAGGTTCACGGATCACAGCAAATATTTATTGAACCTGCAGTAAGTGCTTGACATTGTGGTTAGTTGTGGTTAAAAGAGTATTGAACTCAGGTCAAAAGTCCATCAGCAGCAGGGTGATCTTGTCTGGATTTTCAAACTGTATGAGTTTCCCTTTTCTCACCTGCATAATGGAAGGATCATACATACAGGCGAGGTTTAAATAAGAAAGTATATGGTGAAAGCAAAAACATATAAACTTTAAAGTGCTGTGGATATGCAGGGAATACAACCACAGCTGTAATAGGATCTTAAGCAATTAACTCCCATCTGTAAACCTTTTTTATGCCCTCTCACATATGAAACATTTGTTGAGAAAGAACCATATTCAGTATAGTATGCTCAAGAGGGATACAGAGAAATATAACACATAGGTTCTTCCTGGAGGAACATTTAGTTTGTCTTGTAATAGGAAAAGAGAAATGTGTCTCATGTCCTAGATCTTCCAGACTTTATCCAGTAGGTGAGGTTTTTTAAGCATGCAGGATTCAGTCGTGCTTTCTGACACTGCTGTCACAGTAGTATGGAGGCTAGATGGGGCAGGGAGACCTGGAAACAGGAAAAAAGGGTGCAATGCTTATGCAATAGAACCCCTGAATGATGTGAGCCTGAACTATAGCAATGTTGTAGGAGAAAGAGGAGGACAGAGTCATGAGGCATTGTTCGGGTGAAAAGGAGAGTGATGGATAGAATATAAGTTAGAGAGAGAAAGCATTTTAGGTTGATGTCAGTTTCCAGTTTGAATGTGGATGGGTGGAGAACAAAAGAGCAAAGAAGTTTGTTGGGGTAGGTGTGGTTGGGATATGCTGAGTTCTAGCTCTGCAAGGAACAGCCATGTAGAGTCAATTATCCAGTAACTGATTCCTCTATGGGTTTGGAACAGGAGAGAGATTTGCTTTAGAGATAGAGCTCAGTTCATGAAAACCATGAGAAACTATGGGAGGAATCACACAGTCTAGCAATCCACATCTGGGTATTTATCAGAAAAAATACAAAATCAATTATTCAAATTACATTGGCACCTCTATATTCACTGCAGCATTATTCACATTAGCCAAGAGTTGAAAACAATCTAAGTACCCACTGACAGAGTAGATAAAAGGGATGTAGTATATGTATACACGCACACACGCACACACGCACACACACACACACATATGACTGGATAAAGTTTGGAAGAGCTAGTACATGACACACACACACACACACATACACAATGGGCACTATTTAGCTATAAAAAATGTTGCCTTTTGTGACAACATGGATGGAACCTGAAGGTATGATTCTCTGCAAGATAAGTCACACAGAGAATGACAAAGGCCATATGATTTCACTCAGATGAAGAAACAAGGATAAAGAAGATAAAAAAGAAAGCAAACAAAACAAAATACAAGCAAAGATACACTTAATATAGAGAACAGATTAGGGGGTAAAGAGGCTAGGGGATGGGTAAAATGGATAGGGAAGTCAATTCTATGGTGGTGGGTGGAAAATAGACTTTTGTTGATGATCAAGACGAAGTATACATGGATGTCAAATTGCAATACCGTATACTTGAAAGTTATATAATGTATATTCCAGTGATGCTACTTCAGTAAACATTTGTAAAAGCTATGGAAGGAGAGGAGGTTATTCTGGAGAGAAGCTGGCCAAGGACAAGTCTTTGGGGAGTATCAGTGCCACCAACCATCCAGAAGAGACTAATGGACCCCCCACTTGGGCACAGAGTTGGAGTGGGTGGGTGAGGCTGGGGTGGGTAGGGGAGGCAGAGGGTATCACATCTGCAGAGCAGTCAAACAACATGAGACCTAAAATATGCTTGAAAATCAAGGCAACCCAATCCTTTCTGTTGGTTCCTGGCACACAGTAGGGCATCGAGTACAAGAGCAAACAAATGACCAGGCATGTTACTTAATCTGTCTAAGGCTTCAGGTTCTCCATGTATCTGTGATGGATGTATTATGATGTCTATTATTTTCCATCTATAAGAGGGTATGGCACTGTGATGTCCTATGTAATCTATATTCCTTTTTAAGGCAAAAAAAAAAAAAAAAAAAAGAGGAGAAAGAGAACTAAGTTCGCCGAATACCCTGGCTGTGCTAAGCCCTGTTTGTGCCATTTCATCCATGCTATCTCATTTCATCTTCACAGCAGAGCATGGAGCACTGACACCTGCACAGATGAGGGAAGTGACCAAGAGTCATGAGCCACTATGTGCTGGAGTTGGGGTCTGTGCCGAGGTCTGCTTGATCCTAGAGCCTGGGCTATGTCCATGGCCCCAGCTGCCTGGAAGGGAAGTGGGCCAGGTCCCTGCCACTAGTCCCGCTGCATCTAGGCAAGATCTCTTTCATTCCTGTGTCCAAGATTGAGTCATTAGGGAGAGCAGCACAGAGTTTCCACTGTCTCAAAGATATAGTCTATCACTCTAGACAAGGTCATTAACAATATATCTGACTTGGCAAAAGTCCTAAAAAGAGGATAATATTAACTATAGTGAAATCCATTTCCATGACTGCCCCAGAGACCAGCAAAAATCAATTGCCTAGTAAAGTTGGATCTTTAACGAAAGGTCAAAGACACTACTGGAAACCACAGATGGGTACAGCGGTTGTGTGAGGCATGATGCTGCACACCAGCAGGGGGGTTGCTCAGAAGGTGCTCTTATTTGCTAATTTGCCCAGGCTTGACCAAACAATATTGTCTGTAATTTAGCTCTTCGAAATGTGTATTTGACAGCTCTGCAATCCTCTTCTGATTTGACCAAGAAACAGTTACTATCAACCTAGTTCTGGGGCACAGTTGATTCTGAGTGTCTAAGTAATGTGCACACACTCTATTAAGAGTCACAATTATTTTCTTCTTTGAGATTTGAAGCCTGTTAATGGGCAAGATGATCGCTTATAGAAGGAACTTGGCAAAAAAGTAGTTATAACCAACAGATCTCTCATTTTTGTACCCAATTTTCATTATGGAGGTGGCGATATAATGAAGTAATCAGCTGAATAAATAGTATGTTTGTAAATTACATCAGCTAATATGTGTGTGGCTTATTAGTACAATAAAATGCGAATCTGAAAGAAAGGCTGGCATTAAATTGCATCTTTAGTTCCTGGGAAGAGCATGGGGCCAAAAGGACATACTCAGTCAGGACCCCTGTATATGGATGTCACTGCATCTTCCATACCTATGAATTACTATTAAAAACAGACAGAAATTTGAAAAAAAAATGAATATTTTCACCAAGTGAGTTGACTTATATCATTCAAAATCCTCTGTATGTTTTTTGTTTTTTTTTTTTTTTTTTTTGTGGGACCCTCAATGGTGGCCGGGGACTGAACCGGTGCTGCAGAGGCTGCGGGCAGCCTCGCAGCCCAGCACTCAACCACTGCGCCACCAGGGGAGGCCCAAAATCCTCTGTATGTTTTTAATTTAAAAATGAAATAAATATGTATTATAACATTATGACAAATACAATAAAGAAAATAATAAAGACAATAATAAACACCCATGTGCTCACAACCAGGATTGATTCTTATTAACATTTTGATATCTTTCCTTCAAATCTATTTTTTAAATAACCAGAAAGAACACACTGGCAAAGCACAGTAAAAATAATCCTTAGACTTAGTAAAAAACAAACTAGTTATCGAGGGGATGGGAGCTGGGGTCAGGGGAGGGATAGGGAAGGAAGGGACTGGGACTGGGGCATAGAGGCTTCGTGGAAGGTGAGAGAAGTGTGTGCACATGGGGAGGTGTGAAGTTGTACCCCCCCCCCATTATATACATATATATGTCTTTTTTTTTTTTTTTGCAAATTAATACAATTTGAGGGAAAAATGCTATAAATTTCAGTTAATTTTTACACTAGTTCCATTCCCCTCTCCTCCTCTTTAGGGGGAACTATTTTCATGAATTTCATTTGTACCCTTCCAGGCTTTTAGGTATTTTTGCACAGCAACGTGATAATAGTGCTTCTATGTGTTTTCCCATACCGCGCACACGCCTAAAGCTGGCTTTTGCCATTTCCATTATCTTTCTGACGCCTGGCCATGGTGGTTCACAGAGATCTACTTTTTTTTTTTTTTTACTAGATGTTCCATCCTAAGACATAAATTGCATTTGACTTATCCTTTCTCTTTTTTAAGTTTCATTTATATTTTCTGAATGTCATGCAATTGCAAATAATGCTGCAATAAACCCCCACTGCAGCTCCTTCGAACGTGTCCTTCTACCTGAGTTCTGGCAAGAAGGTGCCTTTCCTTGAGGTGTGGGGAGTGCTGTTGCCAGCATGTGGATGTAGGCCTTCTATCTCCCACTATCTTTCTAACAGGAGACTCTGATCAAAATAAAGATGGATCCATCTAGGACGGCAGGATTAGGTCAGCAGTAAATTGTGAACCATCAGCTTATATAGATGGGGTGCGTCAACGTATTTTGGCTTCTGTGGAAATGCCCTGACACAACAACTTTCTTGTCACACACAATTTGTTAGGCAGCTGCATCCCCTTTGCAAAGAGCATCCTTCCTCTTTGCTAAAAGGAGCAGCTTCTGGGTGGCAGGTTTTCAATTTCTCTTCTCTCTGTCATTTGCTGCTGTAGACATGAAATTTAAAGCAACATCTCAGGGCAACAACTATGGGGCCCAGAGATAGAGAAAAGGCAGAGCCCAGCAAGGCAGACACACAATGCAGATGGAAAAAGAGATGTGGCTTAGCCAGAAGAAGAAAGACGCAGGGATATGCAAGGGCTCTGCAAGCAGGGGGAAAAAAAAAAAGAAACTAGATTTGAATCCACTTTTTGTTACGTATTAAGTGAGTAGCTTTAGGATGGTTACATTCTCTCTCTGAGCCTCAGTTTCCCTCTGTGGAAAATTGTCAACAGTAGCACCAAGATCAACTAGCTCCAGAATTAAAGCTTACGTGTCTGAGTGTCCTCTACATAGTGTAAATAAATAAATCACAGGTCTTAGGACAATGCATGATTATTTCATCTGACTTGATTACAAGAGAACTAATATGAAAAACTTTCTTGGCTAATGTGAAGGAAGTCCCTGTGCTTTCTGTTCTAGAACTAAAGACAAGGATCCACTTCACATCAAGAATTCAAACACCATGTTCAGGACTCCCCCATGGGGGTTGTGGAGGCACCAGTGTGTTAGCCTGGATTTAGGGAAGGCCTTGAGACCCACTAAACCTGAATGATTCTCTCTTGTCTGAAGATCAGTTTGTTCTTCTCCATGGTACAAATAAGAGATAGATCCCATCATGTGACATTGCTGGAAAATTAAGTTTTCCCAGTCTGCATTCAAGTCACCCACTTACTCTACCTCCACTTCCTACCACAGAATGAACTTTTTCATTCATAAACGATGGTGCTCCTCTGCCTGAAATCCTTCCCCAGCTGCCCATTCCCAGAGAAGGAGGCTGAAGCCCCCAGCTGGCAATCAATGACCCCAGCTCCACTCACATCTGACTCCTGCTACCTCCTACTCTGTGTGGTCTCTTGTAGTTCCCAGATTGGCCTGTGCTCAGCTTGCTGAAGTGGACTGGAAGTGTCCAGAACAAGCCAGGCTCTCTCGCACTTTCTTCCCAAGTCTTTGCCTCAGCTACTTCCCCTGACAGCAGCTCCCTTTGCCCCTAGGCTATTTGGCAAACACCTATTCATTTGTAAAGCTCCAGCTCCAGAGGGTCTCTCCAGGGGTAATGAGACCAGGGTATGTGTCCACTGGCTACTAGTGCTCATATTGAGAGGTTGTGCTGAGCTAGCACTGAATAAAAGGAAAGGCATTAGCCTTCTTCATATAAGACTGCTCACAAGGAGGCCTAGGAGGCCTGAGTGCTTCAACTCATGGTAGGGGCTTCCAAGCTCCAGAAAGATCCCCCAATTTCTCAGTCACTGGAACCCAAATTCAAGCATTCACTCAAATTGTTTAAGCTTTCACTCTGATATTTTTCTGTCTTTAACGCTATTAATGTATACCAAAAGTTGACGGAAAAATAGGTTAGTATTTAACTGCTGGGAACATCTAGAGTGTGTGTGTGTGTGTGAGTGTGGAGGGGAGGGGAGAGAGAGAGGGAGAGAGACTGATTGAGAATATCAGATCCCAAAGATTTGGGGTTGGTAAGTGGATAGAATGGGTCACTCTCAAGATCACTGATATGAATTAGTTCTTTTTTCCCGTATATAACAAATCTTTTGCATAAAAAAAATCACACCAAAGCTTTGGTCAGAATACAGAACAAGTACCCTATTCTACTCAGCATGCCAAAATACATTTAAGCATGTCAGTTTTATACAAGAACTTTTGTTGAAGTCAGCCATTTGGTTCCATAGTAATTTGAAGAAAGCTGTTGATATTATTTTATCAGATGCATGCAAATTGCTTCAAGAGATGTTCCCTATTCAACAGACACATGAAAAAGAGACGGTCAGCATTGTGTGGCTTTCCATTCCCTGTCATATTACTGATCAGGGAAGTGGCTGTAACCATCACTTACCTGGAGCCAGGCACACTAAGCCAAGCTAGGGCAGCACAGAAAACCAGCTCCGCAGGCATCCTCCGAGTCCTGGTCCCAGGTAGCTTCATTTTCCCTCTGTGACAGGAGAACTGGCTGAGACTCCTAGATCTATGCAAATCCTGCACAGTCAGTGCTATGGTCAGCTTCTGTCTCCATAGAGCAAACAGATCCTTCCACCAAGTAAACAGAAAGCCACCAATGGCTGGGAATCTCTTAGACTTTGCACAGACAGAAAATTTACCTGTGACTCTGACTGTGACTCTGGAAACCAGTCCCAAGGATGGAGAACTCTGCAACAACTTTGTGTTGATACATCTGTAACCAACAGAGTTTTGGGTAAGTAGCCAAGGGGATAGGCAATGACTGTGGGTCCCCAGGTCTCTACTGCCTGGATTCAAGTCCTTATTGGCTTTGCCACTTACTGGCTTTACAATCTTGGGCAAGTTACTTTTGCTCTCTGCCCACATTTCCTCACTTACAAAATGGTGAGGATTGAATACATTATGATAAGTAAAGTGCTCAGAACAGTCCATTCGGAGCACTCAAACCTGTGAGCTTTTAATACTAAGTGGAGTACAGGATTTGGAGTCAGATAAGCCAGGCTTCCAATTCTACTTCCAATTGTGACTCTTTCTAGCTATGTGATTTTGAGCAAATTGGAAAGAAGTTGCAGAGCTCTAGATCCCATCTATGTTAATTCCAATTCTCTGTGTATGGTTCTCCACTGTGTGGCCTGGGACACCTCTCTGAGCCATTTCCTTATCTATGGAACAAAGGTCATCATAGTCTCACCTCACAGGACTATTGTGAAGATGAAATAAACCCAGACATTTAAAACATTTTGAACAGGGCCTCCCTGGTGGCCTAGGGGTTAAGTCTCAGCACTATCAGTGGCCTAAGTTCAATCCCTGGCCAGGGAGCTGATCCACATGATGCAGCAGGCCTCTCCTGTCTTGCTCGTTGCTCCCCTCAGCAGTGTATTTCAGTCAATCTCTCTGTTCTGCTCCCCACTCTGTCTCTGGTGAATCCTCTCACTCCCTACACCTCTGGCTCACACCCCAGTTCTTCTATGCAAATAAATAAAAATGAAATTAAAAAGTAAGTAAATTAAAAAAAAACAAAACAGTTTGAACAGTACCAGACACATACTATGGGCTCTCTCTATAACAGAGCTGATGCTCTTATTGGCAGTCTCTTGTTCTGTTTCTGCATAGGTAAAATTCAAGTACTACGCCTATCTATCAGCCAGAGTAGAGAAAGTCAGTTAAGATACTAAATGAGAAAATGTTCACCAATAAGTGTTATAAAAAGGTTAACTATAAGCAAATAATTATCCAAGTATATGTTGTAATTATATAATGTGGGTTGACATCACTGTATTTGGGGGGAAATAGACAGCCTCCCAGACTTTGTCAGCAAGGAGAGTGTAGTAGACAATTGCTATTGGGCAGCTTTAACAGTTGTCTGCACTACTTGCTAGTGATCTGCAAGAGCCATGAGAGAGAAAAGCTCCTGTTCAAGACACACCTTTGCCCTTCACCTCTCCACCCCCACATCAAAGGTCAGAAGAGGGCCACTGTCTTTCCTTCAGGGTGGAGCTCAGCAAAGGCAGGTACTGCTCATGTATGATAAGTTGAACTTGTTTTATTTGAGCCTAGGTGCATTCTTCACCCTCATCTTCTCATTATTCTGAAAACAGCACTGATTACTTTGCCATTTGTATGTGGCCTGGTCATTAAACGGGATTAAAGGCGATTGTTACACTAAGTCTCTCTTGAAACGGCATCATCCAAGTCACTGTGATACCTCTTTAATTTCCAGATGGCCTGTGCCCATAGGTGGGACAAATGTCTTCATCTCTTCAGTTTCAGCATGGATACAGAGTGTCAGCCCAATTCCCAGCATGGGGAGCGTACCTATTCTGCCTGTGGTGAGGAGCATGGACATGTGGTATGCAAAAGCACAGTGCAAACTCAAAGAAAACATGCAATTGGCCAAATCAACAAATTAAAGTCCAAACTGCACTAACCTGGTATTTATGAAACCAATTTGAGGTCCATTAAGGACTATCTGGAGGTGGCAGGTGACTGTCCTGTGGCTGTTGACATTGAAGGTGTACGTGAGCGGTCTTGGAGGGGAAAGGCAACAGGTAACTTGAAGGTAGGCTAGAGAGAACACAGACTGCATTTAATTTAATTAAACCTGCTACTCATTTCTCTAACACTATTTTCTTATCAGCAAAATGGGGGTAACAATCCATTAATACCTATTTCTTAAGGCTGCTTTAGGTTTGAATGTTTTACGTATGAAACATTAAGCTCTTAACCCACTTCCCGACATTGGCTAGAGAACCCTTGAGTCCAGCTTTCTCCCCATCTTGCCATGTCTGCCGGAGCAACTAGAACTGAAAATGGAAATAAAGAAGAGAAGGGAGGGGACAGATGGACAGTCACAGAGGGCTGTAGGCCCTTCACATTAATTGTGCCCAGGACACAGAATGCAAGCACTGTTGTCACACCCTCTGTGTGCATTCCTGTTATCATCAGCCCAAGCACAGGCACCAGCTCACTACTGTCCCAAAGGATGCAGTGACCTGAACTTTGACACAATTGATTGCGGTAGTTAATCATTTGTAAACAAGCAGAAAATTGTGTTTCAAGAAAGATCCATGTCCCCTCTCGTGTCATTCTGCATTTAAGGGAAGTCACATTTGTACAAAACTGGGTTCCCCTTCTGGGCCCTCAATCTGATGGCCTCCTGGAGGAATCTGGAAGGCAGTGCAGGAAGGAATCATTGCTATCTCACCTCTAGATTTTTGTGCACGCTGTTCCCTCTGCCCAGAATACATGCCGTTTGGTTAAATATGATTCTTTCTTTATTTTCAGACTAAATGTCAAGAAAGTCCTCAAGAAAGCCCTACCAATTGACTCTCCTGGGGTTCTTGGGTTCCAGGTTCCAACAGTTCCCCTGGAATTCCAACTTCATAGTGCCCCCTAGTGGTATCAGGTATGTTCACCTGAGGTCCGACCAGGAGGAAGGCTAACCTCAGGCTGCAGTGATAATAATACACATTTTTTTTCACAGACAGTTCTTAGTAATTTAACATTTTTTCCCCTACACCTTCTTGTTTGACCTAGACAATAAACCAAGAAACTAAGTATCAACTTGCATGCCTGCGATGGGGTTCCATAGCTGCTAAGTATTAAATCTCTATTCAGCTTTTTTTTTTCTTCAACTCCCAAACTCTTCTTTTTGTATTTTGTAATTACTCTCCTCTCAGGAAGTTCCAGAACTTATTTAGGTCTAGCAAAATTATTATATCTCATCATTCCTCTGGTCTAGAAGTGTAGTCTAAAGGACAAAAACCATGAACAATGTTTTTAAATCCATCATGTATCTGTAGGCCTTTAAATTGTACATAGGAATTTGTAACTCTAGATCTCCATTAACAGTTTGTAGTTTTCCCAGCCTTTGAGAGCCCACCATCAATGCCATAGGTCTTTGATTTTTATTATGGCCGCACACTTCAGCTCCTGGTACCTATTTTTGTATTAGGCTTTACTCCATCACAGCTAATCCCTCGAATTAGTAGCTTAAAACAATAGTCATGTATTAGCTCACAAGTTCTTGGTCATCAAGTAGTTCAGGGATGAGTTGGGTGTCATGCAGGGCTTGCCTGGGTTCACTCACGTGATCTCAGTGAGCTGGTGGGTCAGCAGGGGGCTGGCTGACACGGGATGGCCTTATCACCTGCTGATGATCCATTCTGTATGTAGGTGCTGGCTGATTGTGGATGTGATGGGGTAACTGGGCCAGGTGTCTCCAACAGAATAATTTAGACTTCTTCATGGTGACCTCCTGGTTCTGAAAGGCAGAAGGATGGATGAGCCCCAATGCACAAGTCCTTTTTAAGATTCTGCTAGCATTAAGTTCCTTGATGTCCCACTGGCATTAGCACTCATAAAGCCCCCATTCAAGAGATAGGACCCACATGGTACCTGTTGATAGGGGGAGAAGCAGACTCACTTTGTAAAGGGGTGTGCAGACACGGTTGGAAGGAATTTGTGGACATTTTGCAATTTACCACAGACAAGTGCCACTTTCTTGCTGAAGCAGTTAGAAGTAAATATGTCTCTTCCATTTCTTTCTTCTCCTATCCTAGGAATATGGAAGCATTTGTTGAGAACATAGATTCTTTCTGGTAGAAAAATACTTACTGAGTGGAGGCCAGCCCCTGCTGACTCACAAGGACTGTATATGAGTAAGAATTAAACTTGTGCTATGTCATTGTGATTTTATGGTTTATATGTTACTGCAGCTACCTTATTCTGACTAATATACTCTTATGTTATATACAAAATGTGATGAATATGTTCATTTTTCTGGGGGAAAGTCCATAGCTTTCCCCAGATTCTCAAAAGAGTTTTAGATTCAAAAGAGGTAAATATAAGACAAAAATAAAACAAAAAATTCCCCCAAGAGATATTTGTTTCAGCTCACAAAATTATCTGTGGTCCCTTTAAAGGTAGTGCGGGTGTAATCTAGAGTATTTGGGGAGTCAGAGAGACCGAGATCAGCCTTTCATTGCCTCCCCCCGTCATTTATTAGTTAATAGCCTGGTCAAGTCCCTTTAGCCCTTAATTTAAAATGCAGGCTCATTGAAAGATTGTTTCAATAATCATTTGTTGAGAGCCTCCTAGAAGCAAGGCACAATGCTAGGTGCCTGGCTATAAAGATGAATACGAACTAGACTTTCTCTATGAGAATGACAACCTGGTGAACAGAGGGACACAGGACCATCAGGGCATTGTAATGATGAGAGCACCATATAATTTATGCGTGTGTATGTGTGTGTGTGTGTGTATGTGTGCGTGTGTGTGGTCATTGGTAAAAATTTCTCAGAAGTGATTTTTGAGCCAGTCCTGAAGGGGTGAAGAGGAATTAGCAAATCAAAGAACCCCAAGGGCATGTGACATGTGACAGGGCATGTGACATTACAGGGAGAAAGGCCAGCGTCATCAAGATACACAGATGAAAAATCCACAGGGCTGAGGGAATTTGGCATTGCCAGAGCAGAGTTTGGCATGGGTAGGGGAAAGAAGTGAAACTGGAGAGGCAGGCAGGAGCCATAGCATGTACAGCCTGATGGGCAGTGCTGATGATATGGATTTTATCCTAAGTGCAAGGGGGAGCTATTGAAGGGTGTTAGGAGGGCAGGGAGGGGGCAGCTTTCTTTGTGAGAGAGATTACCCTTGCTGCAGTGTAGAGAATGGATCAGAGGGAGGCAAATTGGAGCAGAGAGACTGGTTAGGAGGCTGTTATAATAGTCCACGGAGAATGATGAAGGCCTGAATTAGGGCGGCGGCAGTGGGAATGGAGAGGAGGCATAAACATAATATCTGTCTTCTGTTGTAGAGAGAAGAAATAACACACTATTTGTGAAGGGCTTTATAAACTATGCAGTTTCTCACAAAGGTAGGATTATGATGACTGAGATTATGGCTGCTTATGAAGGAGGGAGTATTAAGTGGCAGGCTCCAAGCTCGCTGTTCCGAGCAGCACGGCTCCAGGCCACACACATTACCTTCGTTGTCACCCCCAGCCCTGGGATTAAAGGGCACAGTTTTGTCCACCTTAAGGGAGTGTCCTCTTCCAGGCTCACCTTCCCTGGATCCTGGAGGGCAGGCTTTGCCCACTTTTTTGGTTCTAGACATTGGATTGGTGTCTGGCAAGCCCTGATGTCTGAGGATTTCACGATAGGCTTTCCCCCAGGTCTGGGGAGCTGATGTTAGCAGACCTCCGTGCTAACATCAGGGGGGTGAGGGGGCCGTGTCCATCGGGTCTCCTTATCCAGGACTGCAGTATTATCTCCACTGTGGCTCTAATTGCACCAGGGAGAAGTGTGGGTGGGCTGAGTGGACAAAGAGGTCTTTGGAGGAATAATTGGGGAAAAGCAAAACCCAGACAAGAAATAGAAATGGCTCTATTCCCAACTAGAAAAATAAGAAGGGGGTGGGGGGAGCGAGCCAGTAAAATTAATTGAACCTCATTCTTTTGTGGCAGAGAATATCTGTTCATGGGTCCTTCCTGCCCACCCCCTTTCCACATTTCCCTTCCTCTGAAGCACCCAGCTACACTACAGTTTTTGGCTCCTTTTATGATTATTCTTGGTCTTGTGGCTAAGGTCACATGGGAGACAGGGATGCGTGCCAGTTTATGCTGCCCCATAAAAGCCTTCCATGTGTCATCCCACACTCCCTCTTTTCCTCATCTGCCAGCTGGATGTGGATCCCAAGATGACCTTGGATCCTGGCAGCCTGGGTTCCTTCATGACCCAGAGCTGGATTCCCCTCCTCTCAGCTGATTAGGCTATGCATGAGTAATAAATAGACTTCTATTTAGCTACTGAGATTTTGGTGATTTTCTGTTACAGTGACTAGTGTTATCTAAACTGATAGAACTCCTTCCCAAAATTTCCTCTGTAATATGGGATAGGCAGCATTCTCAGGAAAAGGGTCATAGTTTGAAAACAAGTAAGTAGCCAGGGTCGATGACATAGCCCTAGTGGCAGAAAGGCAGCGTTTATTTAGCAGAGAAGACTCATTGTGTATTCCAGGATTTTGATTATTCTTCATTTATACATATCTGAGAATTCTGTGTCCTCTGTGTATGTCTGTTTATAAAGTACCAATGGGGCACGTCTCTGTAGACACACACAGGTGTCTTGTTCTACTGTAGAGAGTCTATAAAATATAGAAGCATATTTCTCTCTGGTTTTAATTCAGGAGGAATAGATACAGGACACTAAGAGCAAGTCAGTGCAGGAAAATATAAGTGAACCATGAACAGCTGATCAGTACTGATGATGGTTGAGACCAGGTGGACAGAAGATTCAGCATGGGCACATTGCTTGGATCCTGACCATTGACCAGAGTGCGGATGAGGGAGGACTCAACAGAACATGTGAGAAGAAGAGGTAAAGAGGAAATATTAGAAGTATACAGTAGGTCATGACAATAATATAAACTATATTTTTCCTGGAAAGGATGTAGGGAAAGAGGAGCCTTAACACACTGTTGGAGGCAACATAAACTTGGTGGAGCCATTTCGGAAAGTGGTCTGGACTTACCTTACAACAAAATTAAAAGAGTAAATACCATATGACCCAGCAATCCCACTCCTGGGCATATATCCAAAGAATGTGAAAACATTAACTCAAAAAACTATATGCTGGGCCTCCCTGGTGGCGCAGGCGGTTTAGCGCCATACTGTGAAGCTGTCCGCAGCCTCTGCAGTACAGGTTCGATCCTGGCTGGCCAGGGAGAATCCCACATGGCGAAGCAGACCTCTCCTGGCTGTTCTGTTCCCCGCTCTGTCTCAGGTGAATCTTCTCACCCTCCCATGCAGCTGGCCTGTACCCCAGTTCTCGTATAAAAATAAATAAATCTTAAAAAAAAATCTATATGCTGTACAATGTTTAATGCAGCACTGTTTGCAATACCAGGGACATGGAAGCATCCTAAATGGCTACTGATGCAAGAAGATGAACTATACTACTATGATGAGTTACACTTCTATGGAATACTCCTTAGCCATAAAGAGATGAAATATTGCCATTTATAGCAACGTGGAAGAACATTCAAGGGGTTAAATGGAGTAAAGCAAGTTAGAATGACAAATACTGGATAAGTACAGAGTGCATGATTTGATAAGTAAAATACTTATAAAAACAGTGGACATTAATAAATGAATGAGGTTTCTGAGGTTAAGAGAGAAGGAGGAGGAAGAAAGGGTCAAAGGAATGTAACAGTTGGAGGACAAAAGGGTATGTTTTCAGTGGTATCCCCA